GAAAAAAAGATTCTTATAGAAAATGGACAAGGCCTAGAATAAGTATAATAATGTATCGTTACACAGATTACAAGGTTTATCATACCCACAGAAAGTAATGGACTCCTATGAGAAGAAAAATAATTTCTAGAAATTAAGAACATGATAGCTGCAATTAAAAGAGCTCAATAGCAGAATGGATATGGTTGAAGATTCAGTTTTGATCTGGAAAATGCGGCCCAGTGATTCTCTCAAAATACAGTGCAAAAGGGCAAGGAAAAGAAAAGGTAAGAGAAAAGATGAGTGCCATGGCAGAAGGACCCAGAAGTTCTAACTGGTGTACCTCAGGTGGTGAAATATGATGGTGACTAAACTCTGTCCTACTCCAGGCATTTGCACTTGACACAGTTCAGCTTAAGACTGAAGACTAAAGAAAGATGTTTGATTTTCCCAAGTGGGCTCAAGGTTAGGACGTGAAATCAGCCACTCAGTGATGGACTCTGGTTCTAGTAAAAGGTAGTGGTGGTAAGTGGAGAGGCTAGAGGAGGCAGGGAATTAGAGGCTATTCTCTTCTTTACTGGATATGTTGTTGTATTTCTGTCCCCAACTTCTTTTTCCTTCTCCAATCCTTTATTCTTTTTTCCTTTATTCTGCTCAACTTGTTTCCTTAGCCTTATGCCTCCTGAAATCTTATTTTCTTTCTCGTCTATATGGAAACATCGTAGACTAGCTGTCTGCATCTATCATCCTCACCCTCCTTTACCCCAGGATCTTCCCCTTCTTTGCTTTTGGCCTTTGCCAACACTACAGCACAAGGTTTAACAGATTCTGGCCTATTTATATACTTTTATACATGGAGCTATATTCAGGGGAGGGAATCTCAAGAGAGAAGCAAGAGCTATTTGCCTCAGGACAGACTATGGAGGAAAAATACTCCATTTTCACAGGCCTGTGGAGCTAGAAAACAATTTTTTTAATTAATTGTTATCAAATACATGTAACATAATTTTAAAAGTCAAGACTAAACGGTCCATTACAAATAAAAGCAGCTTTAAGCCTTACCCCTTCTAATCCTTCAGTTACTTCCCTTTTAATGCAGGAAGCCATTCTCAACTTGTAGGAAGCCATTCCCAATCTGTTTTCTTTGGCATTATCCTATTTATTTCTAAATATATATATGCTGCTATTCCTTGATGTCTCAATTTGAGATTACTGACTTCCCATTGTGATAGATGAGGTCTTAATTCTCCCACACCAACCTCTCCTACTACCTCCTAAGTCCCCAATTTCCTAACAGACATCACAGTTTTTTTATAAAATACTTAGATTCTTATAATTATGCAAATATTACTCACTGCAAAATTACATTGTGCACTATGTTCAAACCTCTTTTCTTATACCATGCTTTCTTTTTTCCGGAGTTAACAATTGTCTTATTTTTTTCATTTGCTGCTTTTCTAGGGGAATCTTTCAGATGCTTCAACATTGTTGACATAAACCTATCAGTAATCTTTTCTATAAACTCAAAGAGACAATCTCATTTCTCCCCTAGAAGTCTCCTTTCCAGAAGATTCAGATTCCAATCTGTATTGGGTGTTCCCTAATCTTATTGATCAGCTATCACTCCCAGACTCCTTTCAGATCCTCTGTTTCCTCTGGACCTTGTATCTTTCTCTTTTTTGGCTTTCTCCGTTTTGTTGAAGTACATTCGCTAAGGACCGTCACTAGAAAAGGTGACTATACCATGCAAATATTTGAGCCCTTTTATATGTGAAAATGTCTTTTTTCCATCTTCACAACTACTGGCAATTTGGATGGCTAATTATAGGTTAGAAATTACTCTAACCTCAGATATTTCTAAAGTAAATCTGATTGATGTCTAATTTATATATAATAATATGCACCCATTTTAAGTGTACAGTTTAATAAATGTTGACAAAGATATAAACCCATAACCTTCCATCTCAATAAAGAAAATAGAATATTTCTGTCATGCCTAAAAGTTCCTTCAAGCTTCTTGGCTGTCAATCTTCCCTACCTCAACCCCACACAGGCACCCTATGATCCAGATTTTTTTCACTCAGCGTGTTTCTGAGAATAATTCCTGCCATGTACCACTAGTTTCTTCCTTTTCTCTGCTCAGCACTATTTCATTTTATAAATATACCATTTCTTTGTTGATGGACATTAGACTATTTCCAGTTTGAGGGAATCATGAATAAAGCTGTAGGAACATTTGTGGTCAAGTCCTTTTGATGAGCACATGCTTTCCTTGCTCTTTGTTAAATACCTACGAGTTGGATTGCTGGGTCACATGGTAATGTATGTTTCACTTGATGAGAAACTACTGAACAATTTTACTATTTTATATATCCAACAGCAATGCCAAAGTTCAAGGTGCTCCACATCTTTGACATCATCATTTGGTACTGTCAGTTTTTAAAATCTGGGGTATTTCAATGGATGTGTAGAAGTACTGCATTATAGCTTTAATATGCATTTCCTTGATGATTAAAGATACTGACCATCTTTTCATGTGCTTATTGGCTATTTTCAATCTTCATTTATGAAGTGTCGTAAAGTCCTTTGCCTACTTTTTTAGATGGGGCTGTTTCTTATAACATTTTTAATTCATGTACTACACTTGTTAGAACTGATGAGCTAATATTGATATATTTTCATTAACTAAAATGTAGAGTTTACAGGGTTCACTCTTTGTGTTGTACATTCTACACGTTTTGACAAATGTATAACATGTATCCACCATTACAGTATCATACAGAACAATTTCACTGCTCTAAAAATCCCCCATGCTCCACCCATTCATCCCTCCCTCTGGCAATCACTAGCAACGAATTCCTGTCAACCACTGATCTCTTCATTGTCCCCACAGTTTTGCCTTTTCCAGAATGCTTTATAGTTGGAATCATACAGTATGTAGCCTTTTCAGATTGGCTTCTTTCACTCAGAAACATGCACTAAAGTTTCTCCATGTCTTTTCATGGCTTGATAGCTTCCAAGTTGGGGCAATTATGACTCACTGCGTGCAATTCACATCTTTTCTCTGAAAGACTGTAGAATCTTTCTCTCTGGTGTGTTCCAGAATTACCTGATGATGAGTTTTGGTACAGGTCTTTTTTGTGTGTACGTGCTGGATATTTGTTGAGCCATTGCGATCTGAAGAATTATGTTCTTTGGTTCTAGAACATTCTCGATTTTTTTTGTTTGAAAATATCTTCTCTTCCCTTTCCCCCCCTTCTCATTGTTTGATTGATTCTTATCAATCATTATTGGCCCTCATAGGTCTATCTTAACGTTTTTCTTCCAAACTTTTTTTTTTTTTGGTCTTTTTGTTATTTCTGAAAGTTTTTCTCAGTTTTGTCTTCTACCATTTCTCTTGAAATTTTAAAATGCTGGATATCTAATTTCCAAAGATATTTTCTTATTCTTTGCTTTTTTTCTTCCCATATGAATAAAATATCTTTTCAAACATTTTAGGGTTTTGTTTTTGTTCTTGTTTTTTTAGTCCATGCACTCGTTATATAGCTCTATTGCATCCTCTTTTGTTTCTTTTACTTTCTTTCAAATTGCAGACTTCCCTCAAAGTCCTGGTGATCTCTGGCGGTGTCTGGTCAGTGTTCTGAAACACTGACTGTGAGAGCTGAGTGTGAGGCTTGTGTCTTCTGGGAGCCTTCTGTTGGATGATTAGATGGCAGGGTGACCTTTGCACTTTAGGGAGCTCCCCTTACATACTCCTATCCAGACATCTTCTTTCTGGCAACTCGGTTCTCCTGAGATAAATCCCCCAGGCTCCCATATTGGATGGGGATCCAGGATCAAACCACTCAATATTCAAGCTTCATTTTATTGCCCTTTAGCCTTGCACCTTCTTGTTTCCCCAGAATCTGGAGCCTCTCAGTTCCAATTAGAAGAGACTTTTGGAGTCATCTCATCTAATTCTCCTTTTGCAGATAAAGAGAATAAAGCTCAGGAAATTCATGTGCCCAAAGTAACACCGTTAAATGGAGAATGTGAAACTTGAACCTGGGCTCCTGCTCACACCTAGTGCCCTGGTCAGCTGAAAAACTGCTTCCAAAAATGTCAGAAATGACTCAAGACCTTTTTATCCAGCTTCCTGGAAATCTTGGCAAACTTGCAGGAATTGTGTCATGACAGCTAAAAAGCTGCAGTAAGACTGAAATAAATGAGTCCCACATCTGATCCTGTCAGAAGAGGGACAAGACTTAGATTGGGAACACGGGCAAATTTTGAAAGTGAGCTGCTTAGTTTCCTTTGGTTTCAAGGTTACACAATGGAATTACCACCACTCTTATTTTCAACTTCAAAATTTGACAGATGAAAAAAACTTGACAGCCCAGTCTTCATGAAGTATTATATTATCAAAGTGTCTCTTTAGACTAGAGCAGCAGTGACCCATTTCAATGCAGTTGTCTCCTAAATGGTGCTCCATGGGGTAACATGACTTGAGAAAAGGAATTCCATAATCAAGAAAGTATGATAAATGCTTAGTTACAGAAATCTAAACTGGTATCTTTAACATAGGACTTTTTAAAACCTTTAATATGCACTGTGGAATTTTAACAGGAGAATGGTATATGTGCCATGTAGTATTTGTCCAGTGGATTTTAGCATAAAATCCCTTTTTTCCAATTCATAGGACTAGCATTCAAGGAAGACAATTTGGGTAATATAATCTGACCAATACTATATTTCTGAAAGTCCTGCTATGGACTGCTTTGGGTAAGAACACAAAATTGCTCTCCTCAACATCAACTATTCACTTTCACATTAATTACAGAAAGAAGTTACACTATAACTTAAGATACACATGATGAGTGAAGTTCATATGTATAAAAGTAACTGTACATTATTTACAGCAGCATTAATGCAAAAATAGTTCACTCTCAACAAATAAATGGTCTGTGCAGTAATGTTGAGAAAAAAGCACTAATCCACATTATCATTAGACATTTAAAATGAGGTTTTCTCCCAACACATACTATTCAGCCTGGAAGTGGGTCTGGCAGTGGTGGACTGAAGTGAAGTTGGCAGGGTCTCTGATTTGATGGTTACATTGGTGACCGCACCATCCATCCTCTCTGGTTCGCATAAGCCTGGCAACTGGGCTGCCTTCTCCAGCGTGGGTAGTAACTGATCAAACTGGTCAAGGTCAGCTGTAAACTAAGAATGGAAACCAAAGTTAGAGGAAATATATTCTATACTTTACTTGAATCAATGTAGAAAAAAAGTTGTTCCTTTATATTCTACGAGTTAAGCGTGACTATGAGAAAATGAAGAAAGAAGAAAGAATTAAAGATTGAGGCCTCACTGAAATTACGTGAGCTATTGGAAAACAGTTTGGATGCTTCTGATATTACTATACCGGAGGATATAAGATAATATACACATAATATTTGTCTACTATATTTTGGCATAAAATTTATGTGTTGGAAAAAGACTGGACTGGAAAGAAGTGTCAAGAATGCTGTGTTATGCTAATCATGGATGATTTTTTGTCAAGTTTTTAAAATCTTGTGAAATAACTTACTTAATGATGGAATGAAAAATAAATTTACACTGATGTAACTTTTTAATTTAAAAAAAGTTTGGGAAACTTTTTTATAAATAGTATATCAGCTTCAAAGATCCCAGGAAGGTCATTTCCCACTTGAGGATTTAATAAAATCGGAAACCTATCTTCTAGACCAGATAGGGCATCCCTACATCTGTCTGAGGTTATGGATAGGAGAAAACTGGCCTTTATTTCACAGTATTATTCTACTATGATTACTTTGAGATAGTTCATCAACATAAAATGTCTACCTGTTTGGGTTTCACTATTTAATTCAACTAAAATTTATGCTTCTAGACTGTCTAACTGGAACTGTATATGTATGTAATTTTTAAAATGTCTGACTCCTTTCACTTAGCATTACATTTCTGAAGTTCAGAATCTTGTCACAGGTAGCAGTAGTTAATTTGTTTTCAAATAGCAACCCACTGTATGAACATACCACAATATATTTATCCATTCTACTGTGATGGATTTGGGGGTGTTTCCAGTTTGGGGCTAATACAAATAAGGCTACTATGAACATTTTTGAACACATCTTTTGTTATACGTGTGCAAAAAAGTACTAATCATAAAGGAAAAAATTGACAAATTGGACTACATTACAATTACAATGAAGAACTTCATCAAAAGTACCATTAAAAGAAAGAAAAGGCAAGGTAAAGCATAGAGAAGATGTCTGCAAACAGCCAATAAAGGACTCATCCAAAATATGTAAAAAACTCTTACAAGTCAATAAGAAAAAGACAACATATTGGGAAAATGGGCAAGACACTTGAATAGGCAGTTCACAAAAGAAGATATGCAAATGATCAAAGACATTTATTAGGGAAATGCAAATTAAAACTATAAAGTATCACTACACATTCCACAGAATGGCTAAAATTAGAAGATTGACAATACCAAGTATTAGCAACAACATGGAACAACTAGAGGGAATTCTTGGTACACACTAGGAAAACTGGCGTTATCAACTAAAGATGAACATACACATATCTTATGATCCTGCAATTCCACTTGTAGGTATAAACGCAGCAGAAATGTATGTACATGTAAACCAGAACAGATGTACCAGGATTGCACACAATGGCATTATTTTATATAGCTGTGACTTTTTAAGTTAATTTTAAAGAGTGAGAGTTTTAATGTAGCTATTATTTAAAGCTGTTTTTCAGCTTAAAAACACAGTATTAGTTTACTTGTACCTCAAAGCGCACGCACATATAGAAGTAACCAAAATAGTGTTATTACAAATAGTCAATAGAGACAATACAGAGCACTATGAATGCAGAGAGGAAAGAAATGTCTAACGAGGGCTAGTGGAGAAGGCTTTACAGAGATGATGTCTGAACTGGTTTGTGAAGGATGAGGAAAATTTCGGCAGACAGAAAGGAGAGCAAGGCAGAAGATGCTTAGAAGAGACATGGCTTATCCCAGGAATGGCAAGGACTTCCATATGCCTAGAATGCAGTATTGCCTGAGGGAAGAGAGAGATTTCTGTGAGACTGGGGTAGAACATAAAGCTGGCTCAAGAAATGAAGGACCTAAGCACATGAAGTGTGAATCCTGTTTCACAATGGAAAGTCTCATTGATAAGATGCTTTGTAAGTACATTTTCAGCTATTTCATACTTGTCTATATTCTTTCTAAATAACTTGCAAGCTCAGAGGGGGAGAGACTCTATTTTCCGTTTTTCTTAAATTCCTTCAGGGTCCACAGTAATTATCTAATAAATGAAGGTGCCTGTTAATTTCGCTCCACCCCCACCTCAGCCTAAACACAGAGGTTCCTAATCTGTAACAATTCATGCAAAGGTTTATTTATGTTTACTTCTGTTTCAGAATACTCAAAGTCCCTATTCTGATAAGGGTTAAAGGTGCTTAGAATCAGATGAGAAGAAAAACAGCCTTAGAAAACGCTTCAAGGGAAACTAAATGGCAAAGAAAGCCAGACTAGGCAGTCTTGCCCACCTCCTCACACTTCTCTCCCATTTCAGTTATATCAGAGGTTCCCAAACTTAGCTACACATCAGAGTTCTCTGGGGAGCTTCTTAAAAATACAGATTTCTGGGTCCTATCTTCAGAGAGTTGGATTCAACAGGTGGCGATGGGAGGAGGGGGGCAGGAGAGGTATGTTTAAAAATCTCCAAAGCTGTGAACTGATTTTATAGAAAGAAGCAAATCTCCACTTGCTTAGAATGCCACACTGAAATTGTAGCCCTCCGAAGTTCCAAAGAGGGCATCCTGTGATTTTTCAACCATTTACTCTGAGGGCATCCTGTGATGCTTCAGCCATTGATACTAACCTTTTAATACATGCCCAAAGGGTAGGACAAAACATAGCCTGAATCCAAATCTCGTTTATGGTTGGAGTAAAATACATGAAAAGGAAAAAGTAACTCTGAATGTTCGTTCTGTGAAGCGAGGGATCACCTACCTGGCTCTGGGACTCCAGTTTAATTTCCTCAGGAGCAGGTTTGGTCATTGGGGTGGGGTTTGTGTTACAAGGATCCATCTGTTCTTTCTTTTCCACTTTCACTTTTACATCATCCAGGCTCAGGTTTGGAGTTGATCTTAAATCTTTCTCATCTTTATCTAAAAGATACCGTAGAAGCTGATGGTCTTTTGATTCTTTTTTCTTTGAAGCATCCAGTTCTAGTTTTACACTTGAGCTCCCTTGTCCCTGTCCAGTCACGGATACAGAAGTAGATGAACTGTCCTTTTTATCAGGCTCAACAGACAAAGTGGTGATATCCGAGGGGCTACCCTCCTGTAGGAGCCGGTGCAAAATTTTGTGCCGCTCCGTCAGCGAGCTGTGAGAGGAGGGGCAAGAACCGCTTGAAGAGTTAGCAGAGGCAGAGCCGGAAGTGCCTGAGCAAGATAGTACCTCTTTGCAGCTTGTGTCTATATCAGCGTGCCGTAGCTGCTGCTCTGCAGTTGTGGTCAAAAGCTGCACTAGTTTGTGACTGGTCTGAGAGTATTTATTGTCTCCATCTGAGAGTCTGTCATTGTTATGCAGAAGCCCAGAATCCAGAGGTTTGCCATCACTAGAGCTGTTGTCAGACTGAATCATTTCATTTAAAATGGATGCAATCTCTTTGTTATCTTTGGACTCAGCTTTTGCTGGTTGTATATTTAATCTGCTAGGTGAATTCTGTGAGCTCATCTGCCTGAGGACTGGAGAACTGGCAGAGAAGCCAACAGAGTTATTGGGTCCTTCATTCATGCTCTGTAAAGATGTTACTGGGATGTTTGAGTAAGATCGGTTATTATTATTACAGGCAGTACCTGTCATGACAACGGGGGAGCTTAATGTCGGAATATTAGGAGGGAACGAATTGTTTGGCATCCTGGGCCTTGGTGCCAATCCAGAACTAACTTGTCTCCTCGGAGACATGAACTGTGCGAGAGATATTCCTGTACCTTCCATAGGAGAATTATTGAGGTTTAAAGAGGGGTTAGTGCTCTGGGAACTGGCCTGTCCCTGGTTTAAGGCAACACTGGCTACAATCTGATTTCCAGGTGAGCATCCAAAACTCCCTTGGCTGTTGCTAGAATTACTATGACTGCTGCTATGGAGGTCTGAGCTCTGTTGGCGGTTTACTCTGGGGGATACCATGTTGTTGCTGGATGGTGGCAATGTGGATGAACGGGCCACACCATGAGCTGGCGAGATACTAGAATTGACGGAGGGGTTTACTCGGGGAATTGACATTCCAGAATTAGTGTCATCTTGAGGAGAAAGACCACTGTGTTCCCTAGGGGGGGAAAAAGACATTATTATTCAAACATCTTCACTGGTTTCCATTAAAATATTTTTATGATGCATATTATAAACCAAGACCATTAACCTCATTAATATTGCAAGCCATCAAGTAAAGAGCTTCTGTATGACTTTAAGGAAAAACGGTGGACTGTTAGCGCTACTGTGAAATATTAGCACCACTTAATAGGAAACAGTGCTCATGGTCTCATAAATTTGATAATGGTTTCAGTTATATGGGAAAGAAATCTTCCTTGGTCTTGGAAAAAAATCCAATATATGTACTTTAAACTTTTCAAAATTTAATACAAATACTTAACATTACAATAATATTTTTGGTTGAAAGAGAAACTTCCCACACCTCTGTTTACAAAGTCTTTTATTCATGACTCCCTTGTTAGAGCTTTTAAGTATTTCAACTCCAAAGAGGAAGACTGGGTAAGGAAAATACTGTGTCACTGATGTAAAAATTAAAAAGGGTGATATGCAGACATAGCAGATGTTTTGAAAGAGAAATCACAATATGAAAAAAAGAACTGTGCTAATTCCACTCACAAGCATAAATTAAACTAAAATTAGAAAAAAACAGAATACTGAATTCAGATTTTCATCGAGCTCTTTACTCAAATCCATAATTATGACAACAGATTTGTGACTGGTATTACCATGTTCCAATAAGCAAATATATCAGATGAGGAAAAGATGAAGTGAGGGGAAATGTCTTTGTTTTTGTTTAATGCTACATTTTAAATAGTTGCAAATGTAGGGTTTTGAATAATTCATAGGATAAAAGAATGGTTCCATGAATTTACCATATATACCAATGTAAAATGTATTTAGAGAGAAGAACAAATTAGAGGCAATGACATTCAAAAATCTCAAGTTGATAGTTTAATGACTTGTAGTTTGAGAAACTGTCAACTTGAACTCAGGAGCCATCGAGTTTGCCCTAATGAGAATACAGCACTTTTAAAATTAAAAACAACAATATTAACAAACTCTGAAATCTTTTATAAGACCGAAGTTCACATATGGAAAGTTGGCTATTTTTAGCCACCTTTCTGGTTTTTACCCCTGAAACACATATTTTCAGCCTAACCTTTCCTGTGTTCCTTTTTCTTTCTTTCTTTTTTAACAATAAGGCTATTGTTAGGCGAAAAAACTATAAAACCCAGTACGGATATAGTGATTATATACTCATCACACTAGCTTAATGCCTAACTTCGAATTTTTGTTTTCTAGCCATCAAGAGTATTAAAAATTTTTCTCTAAGAAGAGATATATGAACTGACTTATTTCATATGAAGCTCTCCAAATAAGTAGTACCTGTCGATGATATGAATTCCCATGATGAAAGGTTGCATGTCTGGACTTTGAGGGTAGCAAAGTTTACACTTGGTGTGGGCGCTAAGCATTGTCCCATCATTCAATATGAATCTATAGGATGGGCTGGAGGCAGTGCCACGAGTCATCACTGTTTCAAACAAAAGAAAAACCTAGTTAAAATTCTGACACTTGTACTTTGGGCAGAGGAGAGTTACCAAGCCTTATTTCTACCTTGAACCTCATTTTAAATGCCCTCCCGACAGCTGCTTGCGCAGACTCAAAATAAAGAATAGTTCAGACAAAGCAGATATCTGAGGGCAGGGGGAATGATTCTGGTTAAAACAGACCACTTGATGACAAGTTTTAATTCAGTACTACTTGAATGAATGCCTCCTCATATAAGTTAAAATTATGAAGAAACTTCAAACCAGGAAAAAAAATCAACCTTAATATTTCCCCATAATGGGACAGTTCTTCAAATTTATTAAGTGTCCATTAAAAATACCAGGAAGTAATCTCCCTTCTCCCTTTCGGAATTATCTCTAACAAGTTTGGTTTTTTTTTTTTCCTTTTGCTGGCTGATTTTTTTTTTTTTTAAATTTAATTTTTTTTTTTATTCTTATGTTAATCCCCATACATTACATCATTAGTTCTAGATGAAGTGTTCCATGATTCATTGTTCGTGCACAACACCCAGTGCTCCATGCAGAACGTGCCCTCCTCAATACCCACCACCAGGCCAACCCATCCTCCCACCCCCCTCCCCTCTAGAACCCTCAGTTTGTTTTTCAGAGTCCATCTTCTCTCATGGTTCGTCCACCCCTCCGATTTCCCCCGCTTCATTCCTCCCCTCCCGCTACCTTCTTCTTCTTCTTTTTTTTTCTTAACATATCTTGCATTATTTGTCTCCGAGGTACAGATCTGAGACTCAACAGTCCTGCACAATTCACAGCGCTTAACAGAGCACGTACCCTCCCCAGTGTCTATCACCCAGTCACCCCATCCCTCCCACCCCACCCCCCACTCCAACAACACGCTGGCTGATTTTTTTAACAACAGCTTTACTGAGATATAATTCATATACCATTAAATTCACCCTCTCTGTTTTTATGAGTTTGCAGAGTCGCTTAACTGAAATTCAAATTTAATTTTTCACTCAGGAATGTGAATCACTAAGGTCCCATCTGAGGAATTAGTGTATTCACATATTATTTTTTATGTTTGAATTTAGTGTAGGAAGTAAATTAAGATAAAGCCAATCATGGCTAATATAAAAAACAAAAACTAGGTTAAGGCAGTCAAATCACTATATAAACAACATAATTTACTTTTGTCTTAAAGGTTTATTACTAGCAGACAAAATTCTAACCATATTGGCAAGTATTTATTAAATATGTAAAGGCTATACCAGACTACTAAGTAAGAAAATGTCATTGATGTTTTAGCAATATAATAAAATTCTATTTTAAGAAAGATTTAATAGGTAGATTCAGCTATACCAAGGTTAAAAATCATATTCATGGAAACACAAGAATTACTACCATAAATGACTATTACAATTTAGCCTGTAATGAACGCTAGTACTATTTTTCAAAGACATTTCAGAAAGCCCTTCTATTACATTTTAAAGACATGTTAAAAAGACTTAAAAGGAGCAATTAATAAATATTTTTTTGAAACTGCATATTACTTAAATAAAGAGAAGACATACTCTCTTTTATTGCTTTGGGTATACCTTATATACTGAAGAGGGCATAATCTGTTGCAAATCTATACCATACACAAATCAGCCTAAGTACCAAAATTATGATATAAACTTAATGGAAAGGATCAAGATTGATGTCCAACCAACCACATTCTTTACCCACCTGGCAATTTCAGCCAAATCACTGGTACATTTACCAAATATAACACATGGAGAAATTTAGTACCAAATGAAATAATAACTGATGAAAGACAGTCTTAAATGAAATGGATAATTTTTGTATTAGGATATAAATAAATGCTTTGCTATAGCAAAACCCTAAAAAAATTTAACGATTCCAAACTGTTAAATCTTTTTAACAGTATATTTTGGAAGATACATCTACAACAAAAAAGTAGCATTTCAAGATAAATTATTAATCTGGGATAATGATAAAGCTACATTATACAAAGGGCCGGGCAAGATACAATATATTTCATGTTATTTTGCTTATGCCATTTTGTCTCTTCATCATTGTTTATTGCTCTTTAGGGTCTCTCCATTCTGCTGCAAAACACTGGCTCTTCACTATTGAGCTGCACTGTCACCAGCCACATGTGGCTATTTAAATTTAAAATTAAATAAAATTTTAAATTCAGTTCCTCAGCCACACCACATTTCAACTACTCAACAGCAACATGTGGCTAGCGTCTCCCATCCTGGACAGTACAGTATACATATATACAATCTGACTTCAACTTATATTTCCAATCTTGTTTTTCACTGCTTCCTAAACATTTCTTCTGTGTCACTTTAAATAAAGGTAGATAACTTTACACACTTATTTTTCTTCATCAGCTAAAATAAACATAAGGGCTAGTACTGTGTCCCATTCTTGTTTTCCACTCTCCTTGAATCTTGCATGAAGCTTTGCATATAAAATCACCCAGTAAGTACTTGCTAATTGACCCTCAACTTGAATCTCATGTAAACAGATTAATATTGACTTGTGATCAACTACCATAACATTTCTTTAAAGGATAGATTTTAGATCTTAGCTGTGTTCTCAAATGCTTATATCTCAATTTATGTTCTTGCTCTCATAGGAATCTGGACTTAACTTTTGTAATGAAAATTAATGGAAAAGAAATGTCTTGATTTGTTGATAAGCCCTATAAAGTGAGAAAGAACTAGAAACTCAGACTAGCATGGAAACATTAAGATACTTAATGTGGATTACACAGAAACATCACTGGCCCGCCCTTTGGTAACTAGGCTGTCTTAACTTGGGATTCTGTCTATCTAAACTAAAAAAAATTCCAAAATTGAGAACCCCTATTAACTTTATATAAGGAATTTACTGCACTTTAAGTTTTGAAGTTAGATTATTTATTTTGGATGATAATGTGTGGAAAAAAGACTTAGCACACATTATGATTCACACATTCTTTGAAAAGGAAAAAAGGTAATATAAACTATAGTAAAACTTTAATTATTAGAGCTTAAGACTATCCAGTTAACTAGGGGCACTGGGGTGGCTCAGTCATTTAAGCATCTGCCTTTGGCTCACGTCATGATCCCAGGATCCTGGGATGGAGACCCACGTGGGACTCCCTGCTCAGCTGGGAGCCTGCTTCTTCCTCTCCCTCTGCCCCTTCCCCCCCTGAGCACGTGCACTTGTGTGCCCTCGCTCTCTTTCTAATAAATAAATAAAATCTTAAAAAAAAAAAAAAGACTATCTCGTTAACTAAAATTCTTCTGGTGCTCAACTTTTCAGACGGAAAGATAAACAGGAAGGTAGCGTGGATCAATGAAAAGAACAAGAGCCTAGAAGTCAGATTTAGGCTTGAACTCTGCCTTTGTCATTTACAACTTTAGGACTTCATAATGCAAATTAACCTTCGCCCATCATCACTAAAACTGAGCCAGTAATGTTGTGAGATAATATCTAGTATGGAGCCTAGTACGTAGCAGGTACTGAATGAATATTTCCTGAAAAACACCAAAGAAAACACAAACACAAAGTACCTATGTCCTGAGTCATATACACATTCAGCCAATCCCTAGATACTATTCACACCAATAGCTTCAATCTTATAAAACAATCATTAATATTTTGAATTAAGACATGAGTAGGGGAGCCACAGTTCTTTACAGAGCTGGCTAGATAAACATTTGCTCCGCACACCAAATTTTCCCTATAAATGGGTTTCAAGGTTTACGACTGGATAAAACTATTTGGAATGTCATCGATCACAGGTCCTGGCCTTGTTTTCCAATCTCGTTTCGCCAGGTATATAGCTCGCTAGTATTGTGATCCCTGCCTCCTGTAACCATTTCTAAAATTTTTAGAACACTTGGTGGGGAGGGATACTATTGATGTGGTATTACTGACACCCCAGAAACTCTTCTAGGAACCTTTTAAAATAACAACTGTTTTGTTTTGTTTTCCCCTCTAGAATAGGCCTCAACAGAGCTATGAAGCAAAGAAAAACATTTTCTCAGATCATAGCAGCTCTAAGAGTAGAGCTATTTGGGTTTTTGACTCCAACCAATTTGGTGCCAAGATAACCTCAACAAGCATGCTTTACTGATGTTAACTAAATGGGCAGGTATAAGATGTGTGGTAGGGTACTACCGGTCAATGCTGGTAGAGATTTCTTTTACCTTTTGGTATTTCCCTAGATACATGCAGAAAGAATGCAACTTAAAAAGCTGTTCCCAAGACTGCTACTCTCCCTAAATGCTGATAGATGTGCTACAGGAATAAGTATTCTGAAGAAAAATAAGTCTGGATAACAAAGTCAAACAGGTACCTTTATCGTAGAACCTCCCAGAAACTTAAATATATGTTAAATATATGTCTTATGAATTCTCAAGAGTGGGAGACTGAAACATTCCCCAAACTTAATTCAGTATGAAACATCATTCCCTAGTTACAGCTATTAATATCTTGTGGAATGTAGGTTTATGTTCTCCAAACTTCTCTGTAAGAAAACATCTTAGACTATAGACTCTGATTCAGTAGCATGGGTGGATCCAGAAATCTGGCTTAACAACTGCCCTGGATGAATGTTATCAAGGACCCTTGGGAAGTATTTAACCTAAACTTTTCTTAAAGGAATGGTTCTCAATTGAACTGAATCTGGGAAACTTCCAAACCACATACCCCTACAAAGACTTCCTCCTCCTAGTTTAAAAAGTTCCTCAGGTGATCCTGACACCCATTTCCCCCTAATCTCAGTGGAGAACTACTGCTGTAATCTGGTTCATGCTGCATAACCCCATATTTTTTGGCTGAAATGTGTTTGTTTTGTTTTGTTTTTCAAATTTGATTCTGGAAAATAAAATGGTAAACTCCCTTTAAAAGCTGTCTCTGTCAAAAGCAGCTGAAAAACTGAGCTAAGAACTAAAGTTTAATGCATATTAGGATTTTCTACCAGCCACTGCCTTCAAAGAGTAAGTTAATGGGCAGGGAAATAAAAAAAGACAGACTCAATCACTATAGAGTTTTACCAACTTTTAACTTTTTAAAAGTTTCACACAAAATCAAGTTTCACACAGTGGCATAATTTCACTCTTTTCACCCTGTCCTTAAGTGAAGAGGGAGCAATGGAACTGCAAATACAAATTTACACCTCCCCCAACTCTGACAGACCAATGGATCTCACACTGGATGTACTTCAGCGCTGCCTCTGGAGCTTCAGATACCTGGGCCCTCACAGGAGATTTTAATTCAGCAGGCCAACATCTTTAGCAGATGATCCCCACGTGAGTGTTTCATGGACCACAGTTTTCTTACCAGGTTAGATACTGCTGAGTATGAAATATCAGAAAAAGATGTGTGTTCAGTCCATGAACACTGTTGGGCAAATTGCCCAAAATCTCCCAAACTGTAAAATCAGAGTCATGCGAACTCTGGACAACAGTGCTGAGAAAAATACAAGTTATCTCTATTGAGGAATGTTTTCTTCCCCAAAAAAGTGGAAGAAAAGGACACGAAGAAATTACTAATGGGAAAGAGGTGTTGAATTACATTTCTTTACATTCTAAATTGTTTTATTTCATATATTAATGATAGTTACTTGTTATACTTTAATCAATGTTTTATAGAGAATTTTAATGGTTTAGAAACACATCAACTGTGGTTCAGTCACATCTACAGGGAGCCTAGTCATTTAGACAATAAGACAATAATCTAGACCTGCTTTGCCTTGGTGCAAGTATATATAAATTACAGGCAAATAAAATTAAAAGTGTTTCACGTAAAGTCTTGGAAGGCCCAACTTATGAAGTTAAGGTAAAAACCAAAGAGCATCGTATACTTTAGCATTTGCAGCAGTGAATGGAAAGAGTGCTCCGAGTCTCAAACTTAGGCAAAAGTCAAGTGCCATTACTGACTGGTAGAGGGAGTCTGCAACCAGTAAATGGCATTAGTTGCTTATTGCACTGGTTTGCAAACCTGACTGCACTTCAGGATTGCCTGGGAACTTTTAAGAAATGTAGGTTCTTGGTCCTATCCACTGAAATACCATCTTTGGGGAAGGTATCAGTCTAGTAAGAGGCCCACTGGAGAACTCTTAGTCTATAGGAAGTTGTCCCAGAAGTAACCAGACTAGTAAGGTTCATATAGATGGCTTCCTGGAAAAAAAAAAAAAAATCAAGCTGCTTCCTCTCCACATACTGCCTGGAAGCAGTTGACCTAAAATGTAACAAATGGAAAATCATCTATAAAGTTAGGAATCCTAATATTACGGGGAAATATTAAAATTAATAAGGGTGATGGAATAATGAAAAACATTTTTAAATTATTTTTCAGGAAGAGCCATACAAAGAGTCTCTTTCCAAAGAAACTATTAGAGAATAGAGAATAAATTATACAGGGAACGGAGTATTAGGCTAACATAATTACGGGACAATATTTTTAAAGTATATCAAAACCCTCACCACCTCTGAAACTCTATGAACTTTCTCAAATAATTTTCCCTGTTTCCTGTAATACTGTTAAGTTCCTTAAGGGCAGAGAATATACTTGTTTTATCTCCCACAGTACCATGACATAGCATCTATACAATTATTAATTTCATATGACATATTTTTAACTTGAAACTTCAACCTAAGTCAGCTGATACAGGTACTGTAACAGGAATGAAGTAAACCTGTGGGATACAGATTTCTGTATTATCTAGAAGCCCTTTCACGCATGCCTGTTCTGCTGGGAATGATCTTCAAAAGTCAGACGAAATTATCACTTCCTCTCCGAAGCCATCCCTGATTCTCCAAGTCAGAATTAATTTTTTTCTTCTTTGGTTATACCTCTGGGTTATAAGCCCATGTCACACTGATCTTTAAAGTCATATATTGTCCTAATATATTTTGAGCTCCTTGAGGGCAAAACCCTGCTTCTTAGTCATCGTTGTATCCCTGCCACCTGACATAGTGTTCTATGCATGTGAAGAACTTGATACATGTCTGCTGAATGAACGAATGAATGAATGAGTGAGTGGGTGAGTGACCACCACATGATACCCTGTTCTTTAAAATGTGCATCCCAAATTCAGGATCCACTCATGAATTACTTTGCTTACCCATTTCTTCCTTTCCTAAGACTGATTATTGCAAAAACTATAATTTGGAGAAAATACTTATCAAGCCATAAGTTCTATATAAATTACTTCAATATTAATAAAAAAGCAAGGTGAATGAAAATAATTAAGAGAAAAAAACCCTTTACCTTCTTGAAATAGTTGTCTGGCATAAGATGGTTCTCTGCCCTGGGGCTGGAAAAAAGCATAAATGCACTTCCTCACTAAATCTTCCCAGCCAGTTCTGCCGGCAGCTCTCAGGGAACTGGTATCAATAGAGATGATTTTACCTACACGAAGAACAGAAGTTTCCATTTGTGATAGCCTCTTGACATAAGTCATCCACCCATATTTCAAAATCGACGACTACATCTAAGAAATTTGCTGCTGTCCCTAAATGCTTAGTGGACAAATAAACACCGGACATTAATAAACACTACTATAGTGGACATTAATAAACACTACTAATTTTTTTTACATACGATAACAGTGTTATCACTTACATGATAATAAAAAACTATTTTGGCCTTGGAGTGTGTAATATGTTAGCATATCATATTCTAAAATTCAATTCCAGTCAAGTATTAAAATCATACCATAAAGACCTGAAGCTGCAGAGACTAACACAAATCCAGTTCCTCTGGTTTGCTCTGTGGATGCTACTCTCTGTATACTAATGACTGGATCACTTATTGGGAAAGGAGAGACACAGATGAAATATATGATTTTGGTTTAAATTAATTTCCAATAACTAAGTGAAAAGAATATGAGAAAGTAAGCAAAACTTTCCTTTTCTACCTCTTCTTGGGCCGTAGGCAATACTGTATTTAAGAGTAAAAAAAGACCAAGGGCAATAGAAGTTATATCAGAAAAAGGTAACAAGTGAGAGCATTAAGATTGGCTAGAAATTCTGCACACAGAACATATGCTTTATAAAATGTAGTAGTGATTTGCTATTATCATACTTGAACAAATTTCCTAGATGGCTATGGAAGAATTCAGGTAAATTACTCCTTAGTTAACCAGGGGCCAATTAATCCAGTTTGGGATTATCCAGATAAGTTTTATTTTTTTATGCAATCTTATATTAACACAAAATAATACAGGTAAGATATATACGTGTATAGAACTAGATTAATAAAATGAAAACCTGCAGACCCACCATCCAACTTCAGAACTGGAACATTACCTATACCATTCCATGATGTGTGTACTCCTCACTTGTCACATCCCTCTGTTTTTACATTCTCCTGGCAAGGGATATCTAAATTGTATCCCGTTTTTTTGATATTACAATCAATGCTGCTGTGAACACTGTCTACATTTTCCATGGTGCATGTGTGTGAGAGCTTCTCTAGGGTACATACGTAGGAACAGAACTGTTGAGTCATAGGTTATGTGAATATTCAACTTTATAACATTAAACGGTTTCTCAGAAACTTATATAAGAGCTACTGTTAATCCAACATCCTCTCCATCACTTGGGATATTGTCAGGCTTCTTTATATTTTACAATTAGTAGCTGAAAAATGTTTATGATCTAAATTTGTACTTCCCAATTAATGAGTTTGAGAATTTTTCATGTTTCCTCTTCTGTGAATCGCTGATTTGTCTTTTCCTTATCTTCCCTCTTCTCACAACAAACTCAAATCTGTTGTACTATTTGTGCATCTTCATTTTAACTAATTCCTTCTTTATGTTTTTTTACTTGGTTTGCTTGGAATTTATTAGGCCTCTTTAACTCAGTCTTGAATCTGATATATCTGAATCTGTCTGATAAGGCTGTTGCCCAAGTCTTGGCATAAATGTAAATAGTAGAAAGAAAAGAAATTTAAACTTAAAGAAAGGAATTTTGTTATTTAAGAATAATTTGGGAAAAGCCTGGTGAACACTTGACTGCAACTACAGACAATTCTGGATTTTCTAAGAATTATAATTATTTAATCTTTGTCTCTAATTACATCAGAGGTCAAGAGTTGGTTATAGCAGAGAATCGACTGTCACAGGATCTTCACATGCAACAATGCTGCTCAGATGTAATGACAAAGGGAGGTGTGTGTGTGTGTGTGTGTGTGTGTGTGTGTATGTATTCATGTCAGTACTAACCACAAGAGAGCAAGAGTCTAGAATTGCATGATCAGACGGGAGAAAGTGATAAAATTATCAGCAGTGGTAACAAAGGATTAGGTAATGCAGTGACTATCTTAGAAGAGAATCATGAATGGGTTGATTTAGAGTACCTCTGCTTGCTAGAGGAAAGTTTAACCAACCAACCAACCCACCCAACTAATAAGCCGCTGTTCAACATTTCTTGGTAGAGGACTTTTTGTTTTTTTTAAGGGATATGAACCACTTTTTTAAGGGACATAACTCTATGTAGTTAAAACTACTACTTCCTGGGGCACCTGGGTGGCTCAGTCGTTAAGCGTCTGCCTTCGGCTCAGGTCATGATCCTAGGGTCCTGGGATCGAGTCCCACATCGGGCTCCCTGCTCAGCGGGAAGCCTGCTTCTCCCTCTCCCACTCCCCCTGCTTGTGTTCCTGTTCTCGCTGTCTCTGTCATATAAATAAATAAAAAAATCTAAAAAAAAAAAAACAACAACAAAAAAACAAAACAAAAAAAACTACTACTTCCTAATACTTATTGCAACTAGTTTAAATTATTTTTTTATCTAAATCAATTTGATGATATAAAAAATGTTATTTACATTTTAAGAACACTTTATATTTCTTTGGCACTTCTCTATTTTCCTTATATTTTACATTTCCTCTGGTATCTGTTATGTAATAAGTGTATACAGTACAGTGATGTCCTTGTAATAGTGCTTTGGTGGAAGGCAATGCAATATAAAGGAAGAGTTCTATATTAGGGTCTATGGATGTCTGTTCTCAGCAATTAGCTGTATGGTTTTGGAAAAGTCAACATTCTATCCTTTGTAAAATGAGTGGGCTACAGTCTGTGATCTCTGAGGTTCCCTCTAGGTTTATAATTATTTTATGATTCAGAGCTTATTTTTTAAATTTGTACACATCTACTGTAAAATCAGTTATATCTAAGATTTTAATGCTGGGTCCTTGGTCAGAAACAAAACTACCAGTAATAACATTGTTACTATGGGAAAATACAGTCTTCTTTAAAATAATCCAATTTAAGGGGCATCTGGGTGGCTCAGTCAGTTAAGGGTCTGACTCTTGATTTCAGCTCAGGTCATGATCTCAGGGTCTTGAGATCAAGCCCCACATCAGGCTCTGTGCTCAGCCGGGAGTAGGTCATGATCTCAGGGTCCCTTCCTCTGCTTGTTAACGCTCTCTCTCTCTAAAATAAAATTTAAAAAACATAAAATAATCCAATTTAAGATTCAATGTATAGAAATGCAATATGAGGAAAAGCTGAATATATTGTTCCTAAATCATCCTCATAATATTTAGGCCTCCTTCGCCTCCCACATTTATTCAGTAATCTGACTTCCACTCTTTCCAGCAAGCTTTTGTTCTGCTCACAAGCCTTTATTTGGTTTTACTGACACAAAAGACCAGTTATATTTTTCAGTGGGCCCTATTTTTCCTCCATGCATTAGTATTTTTGGTTTTCAATATAGGTTATTCAATTTTTCCAGAGCTATACATTGGTGGAAAATGGAAAAGGACATGTAGATGGTAGACTCAAGAGGGAGGGAAGAAAGTTATGGTGAGGGATAATTACTATGCGCAGATGCTATATCTCCAAGTCCTAGACATTCTCTTTACTATACTCTATTATTCGTGCTAATTTATCCCCACCTACTCTTCAGTAAGAGCAGCTGGGAGCTTATCTTTAAAAACCCAAGAATAAAGCACACACCAGGAATATTATATTTCTGGGACTAAAAAACTAAGAAATATTGTAACAAATATTAATAAATGTTATAAGTAATGGTAAAGGTCAAAAAGTACATTAAAACTAAATTTTGACAAAGAATAAAATTCAGTAGAAATGATTTTTAAAATCTTGGTTTGCTAAAAAATATCTCTGTGGTATCTATCCCTATTTTAAAATGAGAGAGGTAATTGATACATAAGTAACTCTGATGTAAAAGTATGAAACTTGATGTGTTAAAGATAAGATTACATAACATATGCAAAATACCATAGAAAATTGTAAAAAACAGTAACAATTTGTTTTGGCTGAAAATCAAATCTGAAGTAGGCTTTTACAAAGAGGGCCTTACTTCCTGGCACTCACTTTTGGGCTCTACTGCCCTTCTTTCGGTTCCTCTAATGCACTTGTCTGTTTTCCCACAGGCCTTTGCAGCTAGCTCTCCTTCCTCAATCAGGAGTACTCATGCTGCATGGTGACCCTTCCTTGCCACCCCTGCCACACTTTGCAGAGCTGGCACCACCTCATCCTTTGGAGCTTAGGGCTCAAAGTCAGCTCCTCAGACAGGCACTGGTTAACCAGCTAATTTAAAAAATAGGTTTTCCCTCTCAGTTTGCCTTTTACCATCTCACACCTTTTCCATCATAAAATGTACCACAATTTGTAATCATGTTGTTGATTTTTGCTCAGCTATGTACACCCTGAGCAGTCACACATAGTGACAGGCACTTCTAGGCACTTAATTAGTATGTGCTGAATACATTTAAAAAAAAGGGGAAAGGAAAAAGAAATAGCCAGATACACTGAAGCATAATTTTTAAACCACCATTTATAAATAAATGTATTTACATCTATGCTGCCAAATTTCTTTAAAAATTTTATTCCATGATTATGAAAAATAATTTATAACCAAAACAAATATGTGAATAGTTATAATGTTCTCCCCAGCACCCTGCCCATGACAATGATTACAGCATCTAAAATGCACAAGACAAATGGGGCACCTGGCTGGCTTGGTCAGGGAGCGTATGACTCTTGATCTTGGGGTTGTGAGTCTGAGCCCCATGTTGGGTGTGCAGGTTGCTTAAAAGTAAAATCTTAAAAAAAATTAATACAATAAAATAAAAATAAAATGCACAAGATCAAGACCATCTAAAATATTTTCTGTATAAGAAGAGTGAACAGAAGCTGAATAGCACACAACAGAAGGACACAAAATTTTGGATGTAATTCTAAACTTTGCAGTTAATACCTGTAGTATCTTGCTTGGTCATAAAGGATTCTACACCTGTAATAGTTGGAGGCCGAGGTAATCGCCGTGCAATACAAATCAAACATGACTGGAAATCTGCCCAAAACAAGAAAGGGAAGTTGAAGAAAACAGGGCAGAAAACAGTTCACATCTATCATTTGCCATTAATGGTTTTCATAAAAACAACACGTTATAGGATCTGACGCAATACTGGAGTCACTCTGATCTAATAATACAATATTAGAGATAAAATTGCTGGTAACCAAAAACTGGCAGCTCCGGGTGGAGATCTAGTTAGCATAAATTATCCCTTTCGAATTGAATGTTCGGACATAAACCAGAGGAGACGGACACATCTCATGTACTTGGGTGGTAACAACTTGAAGAAGTAGTTTTCACTAGATTTAAGGAACACAATAATTTTTTAAATACAGTTTTTTGTCAATTTCCTATATTTATCAGTACTTAATGGCTACAAAGACTATTCTCATAACCACTGTGCAGATAATAATTACCATATGAGAAAAACATTTAACTCTTTCTGAAGAAGCAATTATTTTGCCCTTGATGGAGGACTTCATGCTTTAGGATCTATAATTTTTTCGAAGTCCCATTTCCAATTTTTTTGAGTGCTGCACACAATATCACACAGCTAAACATGAGCTTCAATCATATAAGACAGACTGGCACTGGCATGTGTATTTTGTAAAAAGTCCTCAGTTGACTGTGGCACCCACTTGTGGGTGAAACCTGCTACCTGCATGACCTTTTTTATATCCGGTTAATTTCTCATCTTTTACCTTCCCTGGTCCTTACTCTAGCTGCCAATCTGTGGTGTCTTCACTTAACTCAGACTAGCTCATGTGCAAAACTCATCCTCTGTCACATATTTGACTAATGCCATGTTGATACCATGTTCGTATTAGAGCTTCAGCTGTGTTTTCATCTGTTCATACGCTTTCTCCTTATAAATTACCTTGCATGGCCTCAAAAATGCTAACTCTATCCTCCAACGTTCCCCACACTCTAAACTTGAAACTTTCTAAAAATCAGAGCTGTTCAACAGCCTGCTGCATCTGGTACATTTCCAACTGGCAGCAGTTAGTTACGTCTCTTATTTCTAGGCAGCAAGTTGGTTTGAATTTGACATTTTAGTGGGAATGCCAGCTTAAAACTGAGAGTGGGGGTGTCTGGGTGGCTCAGTTGTTAAGCGTCTGCCTTCGGCTCAGGTGGTGATCCCGGGGTCCTGGGATCGAGCCCCGCATCGGGCTCCCTGCTCGGCGGGGGGAAGCCTGCTTCTCCCTCTCCCACTCCCCCTGCCTGTGTTCCCGCTCTTGCTATCTGCTATCTCTCTCTCTGTCAAATAAATAAATAAAATCTTTAAAAAAAAACCAAAAACTGAGAGTGTGGGGGCATTTTAAAGGGGTGATTCTAGATGTTGGCAATTTTTTTTCTTAAGTATTAGGAAATAACATAGTAAGCTGAATAGCCACTATGATACATAATATAGTGACCAAAAATACTATCTGAAAAGGCTGTTTATAATCAATTGCCTCCCTGATCTTTAAAGCCATGGAAAAAGCGATCAAACACCTTAAAATCACCCTTTGTTTTACCTTCTCCATCCTCTTGAATTGATTTTGGCTGTGACACAGTGAAACACTGCATGACTTCATACCGCTGGCAAGCTTCTTGGTTCTCGGTGCCTGGCTCATCTGGAGGGTGAATTAGCATCCTGCAGTTAAAGGTATGGCTATTTCGTCGTGTTGCCTCCTGAGGCCAAGGAACTCCATTTACTGTGGAAGAAAAACTGATTATATGGCCACGAATAGGGTGAAAAACTCTGAGGATACAAAAGACATACATTTAGCCATCTGCTTTATTAGATATTCAGATTAAAAGACAGATCTCTTCACATCTAACATTATCCTGAGGCAACAGAATACTTATCTTCCTTAGCAAATCTGAATGTCCACCAATTACAAAATTGTAAAATTTCTAAGAGATTGTATAGGATTTCTCCCCTCAAAAATAAGACCTTACATATTCCTAATTCATTAACAGTCTTTATAAACAGTTAAAGACAAAAACTAAAAATTAATAATTAACAGCTTACTACTCTTTTACTCAGATTTTTATAGCAGTTAATTAATGTACTTTTCCATTTATTTCCAGTTACACCCTGGAAATGAAAAAATGATTGGAAACCACAGATCCATTGTTAAGCAGGAGTTTTAACCTGGCAGGTATGTATTCTTAAGGATGGGCTTGTGAAAATGTGCACCTTTTTGGGGAGAGGATTCAAAGTTTCTCAAAGGAGACTGCGACTCAAAAAAAATATTTAGATTAGACAGAGACCAACCTTGGCTTCTTCAAACCATTTTTCTCACACTTTATTTTATTTGCACAGTTTATATGCAACAATGCCTCGAATATAGTGGGTAGTCAATAAGTTATTACATAAAAATTGGGGCGCCTGTTGGCTCGGTCAGTTAAGCTTTTGATTTTGGCTCAGGTCATAATCTCAGGGTCGTGAGCTGAAACCTGTGTCGGGCTCCACACTGGCATGGAGCCTGCTTAAGGTTCTCTCTCTCTCTCTGCCCCTCCCTCTCACTCCCTGCCTCTCTAAAAAATTAAAAAATAAAAAATAAGTTATTAAATAAAAATGATGTTAAAACATAAATGTTGCCTGATTTGGTATAACAAAACTGAATTCAGTTATAGAAAAGATGTCTGTACATTTCAAGTGATCATCACTATGTGATGGGTCACTATTTCCCAGTTAACAATGCTATATTCAAACCATGGTGGCAGTCAGAGGGTTTTTAAGACTCTTCTCTCGCCATTCCCAACAGTTTTTTTATTTTGTCCTCTTCACTGATCATCCTTCCTTTTTAGTATCTCATTAGCCTGTAACTGTTAGAGGAGATCATTGAAACAAACCTACACTGGAGGAAGGAGTCTTGGTTTTGCTATGAGCTAGCTGAGGTTTGGGTTAATTATCTTTGTACCATTTTTAAAATAAAGGAATCCAGGGGCGCCTGGGTGGCTCAGTCGGTTAAGCGTCTGCCTTCGGCTCAGGTCATGATCCCAGGGTCCTGGGATTGAGCCCCACGTCGGGCTCCCTGCTCAGCGGAGCCTGCTTCTCCCTCTCCCTCTGCCTGCTGCTCTGCCTACTTGTGCTCTCTATCTCTCTGTCAAATAAATAAATAAAATCTTAAAAAAAAAAAAAATAAAGGAATCCACTATATTATCTCTCAAGTCATTCATACCCTAACATTCTGTAACAAAACACATAAGACCCCTTGATAATTCAAATATCAAACTGGTGATCTTAACAGAAATAATCATTTCAGGCCCCCAGGTACTATAAACACACAACTACTCTTTTCAAAGAAGAAATAAAGCTTCCATTCTATTGAGTGAACAATACAGAAAATAAAGTTACAGATAAACATTTTATTTGCATGTGTGGTTTAGTTATATAGAGTTTCTAGTCAAGGCCCTCCCCTTACTTTTAGAGCACACACAGGCAAAGGAATAGGCACAGGGTTTAGCAAATGGAACAGAGGTTGGAAATCAGATCCCGTCCATCCTCTCAGCTGGGCTCCTTTGTAGCAAACAATCTGTCCAACCATACTTGAAACTTCTGAGTTGAAGCCACTTATATCCAAAAATGTCCATTTTAATACATATAAAATATGACCGTATATTTTTCCCTCCCTCCCTTTTTTCTTTTTGAGCAGGGTGGTGGGAAGGATATACATTTATCTCTTTCTTGGACATAATCAAAATTGAAAACAAAGGTAATTTCAAGCAGAAGCTTCTAGTGGCAAGGCACCTGACTGCTCTGCTTCTTACTACTGTCACATGACTAGGGCATAACGAGAGGAACAGGATAAAAGGAATGCTCTCTATCAGCTATTTGATGATACTCACCCTTCATATTTACATATCAGGCTGAAATTAAATTTAAAAATATTTTTAATATGTTGTAACATATTCTAGAATAATACTATGTATTATAAATATAATAACCATATAATGGAAAAAAAGCTATAGAGAGTTCATATTCTTTTAAAAAACACATTGCTTTGTACCTAGTGATTTTGGGAGCAGATTCTTCACAAATTCTGCATGATCCCCCACATGCAGTATGCTGTAGACACTGGTATTCATTAATTCCTCCTGATTGTAACCCAAGTAGCTGGTCACATTCTCTGACACAAATACAATTCTCCCTTCACAGTTCACAACAAAGAAAAATCCATCCAAAGCCTGCAAAGCCAAAAAAACAAAAAAAGGATTAAGAGATTAGGAGGTTAAAAAAATAAAAGAAAAATAAACATATACATTTCTCTATTGAAAAAGAGATCAGAAATATATGTCAAGTTAAAAGAAAAAGGGAGCCTGAATAGAAGACTTAATATTGTATGTTTTCTGTAGAAGGGGCAGGATTTTGAAACAGACTGTACAGTAATGTACAGCAGGCATGAATGAGTGTATCAACCCTCTTTCTTAGAGAGAAACTTTATGGTAGCAGATGTGAAGCAAGTAATTGATATTCACGCAGTCATAAACATCTCTAAACTATAGGTTAAGACCTGGTCTCTACCCTCAAAGAACTTGGGGTATGGTGGTAGAGAGACATAAATATAATAAAATACCAGTAATGCAGTGTCAGAGTCATACACCAAATATTCTACGAGCACAAAGAAAAATACCTAACTTGAGGTTGGGATGGGGGACAAAGAAAAGCTCTTTACAAACGACACAGTGGAGGAGCAGAAGAGGAATGAGGGAAGAACATTCTAGGCAGAGGGGACAGCATGGTACATGAAGGAACAAAAAGAGCAGTTTTGAGTTGCTGGAGTACATGGTACAAGACAGGTTCATGGCAGGATATAAGTCTGGAGAGGTGGACAAGAGCCAAATCACAGAGGGCCTCCTATGCTCTGATACGGAGCTAGGGGTCTCCAAAAGGAAATGTATATGCCCTAAGGGGAGCATTAAATCTTAGAGGTGAGGGAAAAAGAATCTATTTATAGTGTAATCTAAAATATAAAGAAGAAATTAACATTAGAAGGAAGGGAAAAATGAAGGGGGGGAATGAGAGAGGGAGACGAACCATGAGAGACTATGGACTCCGGGAAACAAACTGAGGGTTTTAGAGGGGAAGAGGGTGGGGGATGGGTTAGCCCAGTGATGGGTATTAAGGAGGGCACATTCTGCATGGAGCACTGGGTGTTATACGCAAACAATGAATCATGAACACTAAAAAAAAAAAAGGAGAAATTAAGCTTAATAAACCATATTGACACCCTGATACCTCAGCTCAGTTCAGATAGTCACATATCACAAACCATGGAATCCTGAGAGAAGATCCAGAATACAGTGGTTGATAGTGGTACCTTACTTATTTATAATCTTTCCACTTATTGTAATATATTGCAGTTTACTTGCTATAGGATATGTATAAGAAATAAAAAGACCTTTAGAAAGTAGAACATTTATAGGATTTTGTAACAAGATGTAAAATGACCATGAAAATCCTTTGTATCACACATTAAGTGTGCTAATTATCTGTGGCAAAATTCTTAAAAGAGCTAACAATGTCACAGGCGATTCATTTTTCTTTTTAAAAAAGGCAAGCGTCCCAAATTTGCTGACCTTTTCTATGATGACAAGTGGTTGTGGTAAGTTACCTAGCAGATGTTTTCCAAATAACAAACACACTTAATTTTGTCCCTCCAGGGTAAAGATAAAATTTAAACAATGAATAAGAAGTAAAGTGTCTTGGGTGCCTGGGTGGCTCAGTTGGTTAAGCGACTGCCTTCGGCTCAGGTCATGATCCTGGAGTCCCTGGATCGAGTCCCGCATTGGGCTCCCTGCTCGGCAGGGAGCCTGCTTCTCCCTCTGACCCTCCCCCCTCTCATGTGCTCTCTCTCATTCTCTCTCTCTCTCAAATAAATAAATAAAATCTTAAAAAAAAAAAAAAAAGAAGTAAAGTGTCTTTCAGAAAGACACTTATCCTATAGAGACAGCATGTGAAAATGCATGTTCTGAAATGTTACTGCAGTTGTGACTTTGTCGCCAAAACGATGAGAATTACTTGTAAAATTTTCTTCTTAGTTTAAAAATTTAAAAATAGGACTTTCTACCTGCTCAAAAATCTTCAAGTTTCAGTGGGCTTTAAACTCTTTTTTTTAATGTGAAAATGCAACACCTTTTGATTACTTTGGAAGAGTCACTGTTTGAGATCAAGGAAGATGGAATTTCAATAAAAACCTAGGGATGTGATTAATGATCTAAAAACCTCACCCCTAGATAAAACTTTTGCCAACCTATTTCATGTTTAGAAGAGCACAGGAAAGCACCCTCATTTCTAACTTTTTTTTTTTTAAGTCAGATTAGCTATAAATTTCAGAGCAGGTGATCAATACATATTATTTGCCTTGCAGTTTATGTGAAAATAGGAACAATGGAAATACAGATATATCAATTTTTTTAAAAGTAGACCTAAAAATTATTTAAATTGTTCTTAGTTATTAATTGAATCAGTATAAATACAATTTTACTTAATTTTTGGTCTCTTAAAAGAGTTTAATAAAGAATAGTGTGGGTATAACTGTCACAGTTTAGAGCAAGAAACAGTATTGACATCAAAGACAGGCAAGCAAAACCTAGTTGTTCCATGGAGAACCTACTGCAAGGGCCACACTACCCAGCCTCTTTAGCACTGCTTCCTCCCTTTTATCACCTAGTTTTCAGGGCATCCTTCTTGGTTCCTCCCTCTCTGCCTCCCTGGTGACCCTGTCTATCCTCAAAGCCAGTTACTCTCTCCCTTGCTTTCTTCACTTTCCATGTCTGTTTCTGGGTATCTCCGGAAGTTGCCTGTTATCTGCAGAGGGAATGGGAGAGAATAAGACCCATTTCTGGGATCATTTCTGTCCAGTCTGAAGACTAGCCAAAGGTGGGCTCAGCATCCAGCACCAGAAAGACCTATGGATTCACCTGGACTATTTGCTGCAATTATTATTAAAGTATTTGCAAAATCCAAAGGACTTAAAAAAAAGTTCTCCTTCATTGTAGTAGGACTGGAGTCCCTGTAGTATCCTTTCCACAGACCTCCTGGGGTTTCTCCAAGTTCTCCTCCCATTGACTGTACCTGACTTCACTGCCAGGCTGGGAAGTTATTCTAGTAACTGGCCTCTGGAATAGGTAGCTGATCGGTCTTACAGGGAGTATAGAACTTTCACCGGGTCTCTGCTTGGCCTCAGTTACATGGACTCGTTGTTTCCTCTGTGAAGTCTGGGGCATCATATTTCTTTTGAGCTTCCCCAGAAAAGGCTGGCTTGGAAAACAGGTCTACAAAGGCTCCCTCATGGTTGCAGAGTTGTCCTGCTGACCCTACCCCTGGGATGCAGACAGTCTGTCTCTTGCTGGAAATGCCTTCTTTTTTTTTTTTTGCTTTTTAATTACAAATGATATATATACTTAAAAAATTGCTTAAGTATGAAAATTAAATAGTAGAAGATCTGCCAAAATCTCACCCCCAAGAGACTGGTAACATCTCAGGGAATATTCTTTGAGACTATTTCTATGAATATACAAACATCTCTAATTTCTTCAAGTATGACTGACTAATATAATCTACTGATACTCGCTCTTATTCTACAAGTTTCCCTCATATGTTGTGCATATAATTAACTTCCAAGTGTGCTTTTGGGAAGAAATCTTCCTGTTTTTCCACGCCCTGGCAGCCAGTCTTCCACTGAGCTGCACTCAGATGATAACAAGCGTCCATCCATTCAGCACAACATCAGCAATCTGAGGGGTTATCTCCTGACCCCCCAGTGTCTCACAGCAGGGGTCCACAATGGCCAAGGCTTCCCACAGGGCTTTGGCTTTACATGACCCCACAAACTTCACTATCACCTACGTGCCAGACAAAAATTCTGGAGATAAAACACACAATTCTTAACAATTCTGTAGTCTCTGAATGGAAAAAGACAAGTACACATAGTTATAATATAGTACAAAGTATAATTCAAAAAGGTTATGCACAGAGTGAAGCACTCGAAATGGGCAAAGGAGCGACTGCATTAGGTACGGACTCCTGGGAGGAGGACACACTATGCACGAGCGAAGTCTTGAAGGACACAGAGTAGTAACTCAGGTGGATGAGGGATGGAAAGGACATTCAAAACAGAGGAAACAGCTCAGAGGTTAAAAACAAAATCACCTTGTATGCACCTGTTATATTTGTGTTATTATAATGGTAAATGTGTTTTTTTAATCTTCAAGAAAAGCAAAAAAATAAAGAATTTATTCTAAAGGCGATGGGCATTTTCTTGAGCACCATGATTTTAAGCACAAGAGTGACATGATCTGCTTTTACAAAGATCCTTCTGGCAGTAGGTTTGGCATGCAGACTGGAAGCAAGAATAGTTGCAAAGCTATTGTGACACTCCAGTTCCATGAGAACCTGAATTAAGGCAATGGCAGTGGAAGTGGTAGGAGAGAATTTGACAGAGGCAGAACAAACAGCATTTGGTGACCTCTAGCAGCTGTGGGAATGAGGATTTGGGGTTGATCCTTCATTAATGACGTAAGGGTTCTAGTAGATAAGTGTCTTTCCCTGAGAAAGGGGACCAAGGAGTAAAGAAATCTGCTCTTTATTATTTTTTTTACTTTTTTTCCCATTTTTAAGCAGGAGGTAAGAGGACAGATTAAAAATTTAGTTTTAGAGGCGCTTGGGTGGCTCAGTGGGTTAAGCATCTGACTCTTGATTTCAGCTCAGGTCATGATCTCAGAGTCATGAGACTGAGCCCCGCATTGGGCGTACACTGGGCATGGAGCCTGCTTAAGATTCTCTCTCTCTCTGCCCCTCCTGCCCCTGCTGTCTCTCTTTCTTCCTCTTAAAAAAAAAAAAAAAAAAAGTTATATTTGAAATGACTAAGCAACATTTAGATGGGGATGTTCAAAAGGCAGCAAGATAGAATGAAAGAGAAACTGAAGAGAGATCTGAGCTAAAGTTAGACATTTGCAATTTACAGGTACATATGGTATTATTTGTTTTTTTGTTTATTTGTTCTTAACTACAATCATCTTTTTCCCTTCCAAAGAATATCTGATTTCCTTCGGGGAGTTACTTTTTCCCCATCAAATAAGGTCTCGTGAGATTCTTAATCAGGCCATTGGGAGACTTCCAACTTAAATGGGAACCTTGAGGAGAATTGCAGACAGAACGAACATAGGTGGAATGCATTCATTCTAGCAGCAGGGCACTGTCCAGATGGGTCTTTCTAAAAGACCATTTGTATCGTATCTGCTTCCTAGCCTCCTTAAGATGCCTTGGTTTCATCTTATTTCCAAGCATTGTTCTGTGATATCCAAATAGCACTCCAATAAATTCACATGTACTAAATTTAGTCAGAATTGGTGTCGCTTGAAAACCAAGAAGCCTAATTGGTAATTTATACATGCTTACATGTGCACATGCATACCTGAATATATCACAGGACACAGACATAGATGAAACTGCCCAGGAAATATGCACAGAAAGACAAAAGGAAAAGAGGCAAGGCCAGAACCCTGAAGGATGCTAACATTTAAGAGGCAGGTGATGAAAGAGAAATCTGAGGGAGAGGCTGAGGAGTAGCCAGAGAGGAGATAGTTCTGTCAAGGAGGCAACAGGAAGAGTTTTAAGAAAGAGGGATTGGGTGGTGAATGGTGTCAAGAGGCACATAGCAATGTAAGGAATGGCACAAAGTGAGGTAAGGAGGCCTGAATGCATGAGCAAGGAATTTTTCTTGGGAAGCAATGGGAGATAAAGAGCTAGAGTCAGATAACGTAGAGCTTTGAACAGGAGGCAGAGGAATTTAGACAGCAGAGAGCAAGAGACAATGAGGACAATATAAAAAAATGCAGAAGTACTTACTATGTGTCAAGCAACAAATATTTGTTGAATAAATAAAGTCTAATTCCACTCTCCCTTTAAATGTGAGGAAATTACCTCACATTTATCTTCATCTGAATATCTTCATTCTTAACTCATGCTACTTTATGTTTAAAAGGGGAGGGGAGGGGATAACTGGAAAACTGCATGGTGAGAATTCCACATAGAATGGTTGATATTTGGTTACTTTTTAGATGTGCACATCTTCCATCTAAGCAAGTCCCTCTAGACCAATGCTGCCAAAGAGTACTTCCTGTCATTACAGAAAGTTCTATATGTGTGTGTCCAATACAGTAGTCACTAACCACATGTGGGCACTGAGCATGTTAAACGTGGCTGGTGAGGCTGAAGCATTGAATTTTTATTTTATTTAACTTTGAATAGCCTTGTGTGGCTAGTGGCTATCTTACTGAATACTGCAGCTCTAGATTGCAGCCTGAATGAATCCAAGGAGTGTCATGGTGGCTTTTCACCACTTCTCCTAGTTGCCCTGGATTAGACTCTATAAAGTTTAAGGTGATGAGGATGAGGTTGGGGGATACAGAAGAAGGCACAGGAAAAGTTGCTGATGGAGTCTGTAAAAGTTAGGAATTCTATTTTGCAGTCTGTTTCACATATCTATAGCTCATAAATAAAAATACTATTAGCTCCTTGAAGTCAAGAACCTAAATATATTTCTAATCTGAGGTTCTGGAATTTCTTTTTCCTCTTTGAAAATGCTTGCCCGATGATATCTAACTCATGTGTGATGCTGTGTCACAGCTTTCCTTGATTTCACAGTGGTTTTCAGGGTAATGATTTCATCAGCTAAAAGAAATAATTCCTACTCTGTTTTCTTTTTATAGTAGCTTCAAATGGACGTTTTCCTGTCATTTTCACTTCATGTTAAAGTGTTGTGGATTCTCTCACACAGTGATAATGAATGTTTATATAAATTAAAGTAGCAGTAGTAATATTCTCTGTCTCTAGTTGTGCTGTGTTCAGTTTGTTGATAATCTGCTTGCTGTCCGTATTGAAATCTGTGGTTTCTGAAGAACCTGTGATGAAGCTAGGATTTAAATGATCACCATTTTCCTACAGGAACCCCAGAAATCTTAAGAACCTGTACACCTTATACTAATTAGTATCTCAAAGGACAGTATATGCAGAAAACAAATTTAATAAAATATTTAATGAATTGAAAGGAGTCCGGAGGCTAGTTTTAAACCTAGGGCACTGAGAAGGCAGACAGAACTTACACAGAAAAACTAGAAGATATGAAAACACTAGCGTACTAACATCCTGTAGGGTAGAGGAGATAGGCAGTAAATGCTAGGACAGATCAGGTCTCCAGGAAGGGCCCAGGGTAACCAAGCAGTGGGCCAGTGACAGGTGCCAAGGAGGGCAAAGAAATGGAAGTTGGAAATGAACCAAAAGTGCTTTTCTTTAATATATTTTCTTCTAATAGCTTATATTTTAAAATTTCAAGATACAGGAAAGTTGAAAGAATTCTGTAGTGAACATCTGTATGTTCACAACCTAGATTCTACCACACATTTTTACTATACTTGTTACAACACTGTTTCCAAAATATGGTCATGTGTCATGCAATCAATTTAATAGATTATGAAAAGGATAGAATAAAAACCATCAGACTCTATCACATGTGGTTAGCTCTCCCCTCCCAGTTATATGTGTGTGCATGCGCTCACATGGTAGTCATTTCTATCCAGTTTCAATGGCCTACGTCTTTTATATTTTAGAATTCTACAAAATACGTGCCCATTCCCTTAATAAAAATCATCAAGACCGATACTGTAAGTAACAAAGTGCTTGTGTCACATGGAGGGAAAATGAAGAACTTAAGATTTTGAGGAGGAACTGCTACTAGGAGAGCAAAAAATACATAGCAGCCTGTGAAAAATATAGGAACAGAGTATGTGAAGAGGTGAGAGCAAGAAGTACGTATTTAGGTGTCATTCCCCCCAGAGATGAAAGGTAAAGCAAAGAGCAGACAAGAAATTTCTGGGGCTGGAAAATCAAGAACTGAATTCTCAGAATATTCTCATATTAGCAGTGTTGGCAGAGGGAATTATGGATAATAATAAAAGAAACAGAGGAATTAGTTGGGATAATAGGAAAAAATGCATAGGGGAGCTAGAAAATAAAGAGACCTGTACATGTCTGAGTTGTTAGAAAGACTTCACCAGAAAGGAGGGCCTTCAAGTAGGACAAGAAAAGGAGAATTTATTATATACACAAAATATATTAAAAATATATAAGCATAAGTGTGTATATATATACTTATATATGTATGTATACACATATACACATACATATAGGTGTACAAATGAAACTAGGCCTAGAGACAGAAAGGCATACTCTGCGGGGACTGAGTGTGTCCAGACACATGTGTTCTTAAACATTCATGTATGAGAGGGAGCACTTAAGGTGATGAGCCTGCTTGGAAACAAAACATCTGCGTTGAGAACAGAGGGAGTGAGGATTAGATACGAAAAGCTGGGGAGAAAATTACACAGTAATTACAAAATAATTCAAGTTTAAAAGTTCTTCATTTAAAAAAGTTTGGTAGAGGGCTGTTAAAATAGTAAGTTTTCTGACAGTGTTTACATAAACAATTAAAAATTTTAGGAAACTTTTCAGGAAAACACCTACTGCAATAAAGTGAGGCATCCCTTACTCAAAAGTGAAATTCTATCATAGACAGATAGCACTAGGGAGCTAAATAATTCTAATGTTTTATAATCCCGATGAATCCCAACCTCCCCAGAAACAAATGGCAGTCATCCAGTAGGTTTCAGTTTTCCATCTGACTATATAGAATGCCTTCATAAAGTCCTCATATTTATCATTCACATTTAATTCTGAAATAGCCACAACTGTCAAAACAGGTTACAAAATAAAATAATTATTAAAGGTTTTCTTAAAACTTACTTTGTTTTATAATTTATTAATTGGAAGTAAGACATAAAAGATAAAGAAAAAACCAAATTGGCTTAGACCAAAGATTTTGATCTCTTTATGACTCAGTGAGAACAGCTACCTCCAAAAGAAGAGGTCCGAGGGATTCCTTTTCTATCACTCCCTGACTGCTGGACGAGATGTCTGACTTCTGCACTTCATCATCGGTTGTGGATTTCTCTATAATAAAGAAACAAAAAGTCATACATCCAAAAAGGGCGCATTTCCATGATGGCAAGTTTGTGAAGACATAGATTCACCTGATTTAAGATTCAAATAATACTTTTTTATTATCTAGGTGATATTTATTAATACTATTATCTAATCTTAATTATACTCATTTTATGGATGACAAAATTGAGGGTCACAAAGGTTGAGTAACGTGTCTCAAATCATATAACTAATAAGTGGCAGCAGGAGAATGTGAATTGTGACCTATTAAGTCCAGTGTTCCAACAATGGGAAAAACGGTATAAATATACAGCCTGTTGAAAGAGTCTACACTGAAAGTTTTTAACAAATGACTAAATTGTAGAAGAATGATGATTTCCTCCATTTTTCTTTAGCCTTTTCTGATTTGATCAATTGCCACTGAATAAAGAGTGAACAAATGCTTTTTCCTTTTGTGAGCCTGCATGAATTAGCTAACCTTTCACATTCATGTCATGGCGATCTGATTGATAAACCCGTAACTGCTAAAAGATCTGGAGTTCTTTTGTGCAGTGATGTTGAAAAAGCCATCCATCATCTTAAAGCAGCACCATACTTAAATACGTTTCCAATCTGTCAAACTAGTTAGTTCGTCAGCCAAAAACCGAACGTGGTATTATTGAATATAGAGACTCATTTTTTTCACTTTAAAATATGAACTATTTCATATATTCCAAAAAAATACAGAAAATGACATAGCATACATTCACATAGCCATCATTCATTTTTCACAGATGTTAACATTTGCTTCAGGTCCTTCCTTTTTAAAAAATAAAATGCTGCACATAGAACTAATGCTCTGCCACCATTCTTCCTCTGTTCCTTTTCAGAACTAATCAATATTCTAAGATCAGCATAATAATTTCTAAGCCTGTTTTTATTATTTAAGTACACATGTATGATTTCATGAACAATATACTACTGTTCTGTGTTTTCAAGTTTACATAAATATATAGAGACTTTTCCAACTTACTTTTGCAATTCAATATTATGTTTGAGATTTAAGCACATTGATATAGATTTGATTCATTCATTCGAACTAGGATATAGTATTATGTCATATAAATAACTCACAGTTAGACTTCCTAGTCCACCACTGACAAACCTTTGACCATCACATACAGTGCTGTAATAAACTATTTTCAGTATTTCCTTTTTTGTACATGTGTGACAGTTTCTTCAGGGTAAATAGTAAAAGTGAAGTTGCTGGATCATATAGGGTCTGTGCATTTTTGACATTATTAAGTTTGGGGCACCTGGGTGGCTCAGTTGGTTAAGTGTCTGCCTTCAGCTCAGGTCATGATCCCAGGGTTCTGGGATCAAGTCCTGTGTCAGGCTCCTCGTTCAGCAGGGAGCCCGCTTCTCCCTCTCCTCTGCCCTCCCACCCCCCATTCATGCTCTCTTGCACTCGCTCTCTCTCAAATAAATAAATAAATAAATAATATCTTAAAAAAAAAAAAGTGCTAAGTTTGACAGACTGCTCTCTAAAGAGAACGTACCACTAGCAGTGTCCAAGGGTTTTTGTTTTTCTGCATCCTCACTGGCAATTGATGTCACAATTTCTTTTTTTTTATTTTTGTGAATCAGGTGTAAAATGTCATCTCATATAGTATATTATAATAACAGCTTTACTGAGCTACAATTCACATAGCATACCATTTGTGCATTTAAAGCATAAAATTCAATGATTTTTAATATATTCACAGAGTTGTGCAACCACCATCACAATAAATTTTAGAACATATTCATCACCCAAAAAAGAAACCTCGTGTCCTTTAGCAGTCACTACCCATTTTCCCAATACTCCCAAGCCCCAGGCAACCACCAATCTACTTTCTGTTTCTATGGATTTGCCTATTCTGATCATTTTATATAAATGGAATCACACAATGTGAGGTTCTTTGTGGCTGGCTTCTTTTGCTTAGCATGTTTTCAAGGTTCATCCATATTGAAGCATTTGTCAGTACTTAATTCCTTTTTGTTGCCAGATAATATTCCATTGTATAAGTATACCTCATTTTACTTACCCACTGATCAGCTGATAGATATATGGGTTGTTTCCACTTTTCAGCTATTTATGAATAATGATGTTATGAACATCTGTGTGCAAGTTTTCGTGTGGACCTATGTTTTCATTCGTCTCAGGTATGTACCTACAAATGGAATTGCTAGACGATATAGTAACTCCATGTTTAACATTTTGTGGAACTACTGGACTATTTTCCAAAGTGGCTGCACAATTTTATTTTACATTCTTACCAGCAGCGTATGGGGGTTCCAATTTCTCCCATCCTTACCAACACTTGTTATCTGTTTCTTTGATTATAGCCATCCTAGTATCTCATTGTGGTTTTGATTTGCACTTCTCTGATGGCTAATGATATTGAACATATTTTTCCTGTGCTTATTAGTCATTTATATGTCTTTGGAGAAATGTCTATTCAGAGCCTTTGCCCATTTTTTAATTGGATTGTTTATCTTTTTATTATTATGGTATAAAAGTTTCTCATTTAGTTCTAAGATGTACTTCCTTCATCAATTCGTATGTTTATGACATTAAGACAGGTTTTTGTTTTTAAACATTAGTTTGCAAAAAAACATAAACCATCAAGTTCAAGTAAATTAAGTAACTATGTGTGAAAAGCACAACATCTAAAATTTTAGGCAAATCGTAGGGCAAGAGTGGCTATGGGACCTACTTTCTGGCTTAAGAAATGTGAACAGAAATGACATGCAATTTCTGGGTCTTATCCTTAAAAGGAAAGAAGCATGTCTTCCCATTTTCTTCTTCCCCCTTCCTGTCAGCTGGGATACAGACAGGTGAGCCATGTCTGACCATCGAGGTAATGGCACAGCAAAAAAGACGGAAGGAATCCCAACCTCTGACACATACCTAGACTATCTTGTTAAAGCCACTGTACTTTGGGCCTCTTGCTACAGTAGCCTAGCCTATATCCTAACTAATACATTCTGTATTTCTCAATAACATGTTTATTTGCTGTATCTTGACTATGTCCACGACAGACATTATTGACATGCTATCATGAAAAGTAAGACTTGAACTTACTTACATCAACCTTCTACATACACATTTCTCCCTCCTTCCATCCTCCCAATATAGTTAAAACAATTTTTAGAGCAATCAGTATTTAACGTCTATGTTACTATGGCTACATAAATATACTTCACAAATGAGCCAAGGTGTGTGCTATAATTTATGTTTCTTATATTTTGTGATTTAGTTTTGTTTAGTTTAACTCATCTCTAAACTACCCCCAAGAGTTGAAAAATTCCTCTCAATTTGGTCAGTCATCAGATACTCTGTTCCATTCTTTTTTCTATGGAAATATACCTCCTGAAAACCCCCCTATCCACCTGCTCCAACTGGGACTGGCTACGTTTTTAGGTTGATGCACAACTGTAATCCTGGGTCTCCTTCTACCTTTCCTCTGTTAAGACTCTATGGTTTCCCTGGATTAAGATCTTATGCCTTTCTTTCTTGGTTTACTACCTTGGTTTTGATAGGTATTTCTGAAAAAAGATAACTTTTCAACTGAGGCTCTGAATGTCTGAAAATATCTTTATTTTGCACTCATACTTCATTTGGATGCACACAGAATTCCAGGTTTAGAATTCTCATTTTTTAGTACTGTTATTCAGAAATCTGGATACATTCTGAATCTAGTGTGTGCCCATTTTTTCTCTCTCTCGTTTTTTCTCTCTAGTGTCTGAAAATTGTGCATTGGTGTGAGGTTTTTTTTTCCTTCTTTCTTTTTTATTCACTATGAGTGCTTTCAATCTGGAAACCCACATCTCTCTAATTCTGAAAAGTGTACTGTTTTGTTTTTGTGTTATTACTCTTATAATTTCCTCCCTTCTATTTGGTTTGTTCTCTATCCCTGGAATTAATCAGACGTTACACTTCCTGAACTAATCCCATACATTTCCATCTTTCCCTTGTTTTCCATTGCTTATCTTTTTATTTTACTTTCTAAGGGATTTCCTCACTTTATCTTTCAACCCTTCGTCTATTTTTTCAATAAATACTCACAGAAAGTCTACTATGTAGCCAGGACCCATTTTAGGTATTGAGGACACAATGATGAACAAACAAAAATCCTTGCCCTCATGGAGCTCTAGTGGGAGTAGGCAGACAATAAACAAATAACACATGTAATATGTTAGATGCAAAAACACTGTGGGGAAAATAAATCAAAGAAGCTATAGAGGAGTGAGTGTGTGTGTTAGATAGGATAGTTATGGACACGTTCATTGAGAAGAAATATTTAAACAAAGACTTAAAAGGGGTGAGGGAGTGAGCCTTGTATATACCTGGGAAAGAACATTCCAGACAAAGGGAACAGAAAGTGCAAATACCTGAGGCAGAGAGTGCCCAAAATGGTTAGACATAGGGTATGAGTAGGCAAAGAGTAGAAAACAAGGTAAAGAGGTAAAGTTTATTTCAGCTATCCTGATTTAAGTACCAAAAGTTATTTGGTGTTTTGAATGTTTTATACCATCTTATTATCATTTCATAGATGAAATATCTTCCTTTTTGTCTCTGAGGGACTGCTGGATGGTTTTAAGTTTTCTTCTGCTCCCTGCATTGTCTCTGCTTTCTGAGTTCCTATTTTTTCAGTTTGCTTGATTTGTGCCTTTCCTTTTTCTGTTTCCTTGATTACAGCCTTTCCTCAAATATCTGGATTTTTATTCATATTAAAGAGTGAGGTACTAAAATGCTGACTGGCAGCTCTGTGAATAGAGGGGGCAAGACAGAGAATGGATTTGTCCTGTCGGTCAGTGTCTATGTGTCTTTTCCTTTGGGCTGCTCAGTGTGCCCAGAAGAGTCCTCCCACCTCTGACTTAGGGAGTATGAGTCAGGCTGTCAGGGTTTGAGACCAAACAGCAAGGAGACATATAGCCTCTTACTGGCTCTCCCTTTGCAGACTTAAAAATACCAGCTTCTCCCCTCTGCTCAATCAGCTGTCACTAGACTATCTACTTTCCAGCTTATAAAATCTTAAAATCCTATCACTTTAATCATTATAAATATATTTGTTTATAATCTTTTCATATTGCTATTCTTAATCTGAAGTTCTTTGGGGTCTATTCCTTCTGTTATTTGTGCTATTTACTGTAGATTATTTCCTCGTACGTTATATAAATTTTTAGCATAAAATCACCCTGAGAAGCACTTTTTCTTTGGGAATGCCTTGGGGCCAGGTGTGGGAGCGTTCCTCCAAAGTGCTTTGCCTTTGTATCTACTTTAATTCTTTGCGAGGGGTTTTGTGGTGTGGGGTCCTCAGTAAATATGGATAGTATATATGTAAATCATAAAAAAAAATATCAGGATCTTCTTATAGGAGACTGTTCCCCACACCCAGAGCCCAGAGACCAGCTTATTATCCAGATGGAGGGATTTTCCTATAACTGAGCTACCGTCTTTCAACACTATGCCAGAGCTTCAGGTCTGATACCACAACTTGTCTCTTGACTCAATCCCCTAGGATACTAGGTTCTTTAACCTCCCAAGGCAACAAGTGTTCAAGTTAAATTAATAAGACTTGTTGTTGTAACAAGAGGCTCTCAGATTCACTTTCTAAAATAAAGACCATCTAGGGGTGCCTGGGTGGCTCAGTCGTTAAGAGTCTGCCTTCGGCTCAGGTCATGATCCCAGGGTCCTGGGATCGAGCCCCGCGTCAGGCTCCCTGCTCCGTGGGAAGCCTGCTTCTCCCTCTCCCACTCCCCCTGCCTGTGTTCTCTCTCTCACTGTCTCTCTCTCTGTCAAATAAATAAATAAAATCTTTAAAAAAAAAATAAAATAAAGACCATCTAAACAAAAATGTTTAATAAAATTATGAAATTCAATGCAATTTCTTAATAATAAAAAAATAAAATCACATATTACGAAGGTCTTCATAACAAAGCACACAGCTATGGGTTTTGTTTTGTTTACCTTGTTCCATTCTTTTCATTAGCTGTATCTGATCGACTGTCTTCTTCAAAATCTTGCATTTGTCTGGCTTTACACTCAAACTGTCAATGTCACTGATGTTGGCAGACAGTAACTCAGCTAGCTCTTCTAAATATTTATTTTCTTGCTCCCTGCGCCTCTTTTCAGTGCTATTACACAAAGAAAAATCAGTTAGTGTACACTTCTACCACCATACTTCCCTTCTGTTCAAGTACTTAATACTTACATACTTATAGAGATCCGTAATTTTATCCAGAATATAAAACCAGATTTGAAAACAATCTAAATTCACATCTGAAAAACAGGTACTACAAAATACCAAGATACAGAAAACAATTCTGGTCAAAATACATAAAAAGAATGACTGCCATCACAGATGTGTTTCTTCAATGATGTAAATACATCACATATTTCAAATAGCCAATGAATGTTAGATATTAAAAGGAAGCAGACAGTACATATACAAGTTGCATTTGGAATTTATTTTACGTTCTAAATAATAATTCCTTGAAATAGAAAATCTGAATTTTCAAACAACTTTGTTATAAATTAAGTAGTGGAGACTATACTATAGTTCAAATAAGTTATACTTGGAAATCTGATAAACTTTCTTAATTTTTCTGCTACTGAAAGAAATCTGATAAACTCTTGATTCTTATAATGATTAGACCATTAGTTGGTCCTCATCAAAAAGAAATGAGTATCCATCCAAAAAGTAAAATAAGAAGAATAAAAAATCAATAATTAGAGAGACAAAGGTACAGAGAACAAGGTCTTTTGTATACAACTTTGTTCTAAAAAACAGAAAAGACATCTATTTATAAGTTCTTATAAATGTAACAAAATCAATTTTGATTTATCTTGAAGCAAAATAATGAGAACAAAGGATAGTAGTGCAAACAGCTAGTACTTTATATTCATTCAAAAGTACTGAATGAATATTGTTCACTTTTGTTTTCCGGTCTTTACTTCTGGTTTAATTAGCCAAATCATCAGGCAACTTGCTTTATGTAATACATACAAAGATAGTGAAATATTACTTTGAAATGAATTTTTCCATTATCAAATTAACATAATAAAGACTGGTCACAAATAGCTCTTTATTTCATAAGCAGCAATCAAAATCATCTGGTATAATGGTAGAAAAGTGGTAGAAAAAAAGGTGAAAAGAGGGAAAGATCAGTTGCTTTTTAAAAAACTCATAATTGGCAACAATTAAAATACCACTTACTTTTCATAACAAAAAAACTATAAAAGCAATAGTATTTCCATAACAACACAGTAAGTTGAAAAGAACCAAGGCAACCAATCAACCGCATTTAACTACGTAAAACAAAATACTACAAAATAATACACATCCCAAAACAAGACCAAATTATAAAACTATAACAATCACATTGTCTTTAAAACCTTTCATTATTGAGTTATTAGTCTCATTTTACTTAGTAAAACTTTATCTTACAGTTTCTGCAGAGAGTACATGTAGTAAGATATTTTGACAAACTTCACACCAAGGCATTGAAAACATGAAGAAAATAAGTAACACACATTTTGACATATGCAAGGTTTCAGAGAACTCCATCTCTGCAACTTGATAGTGTTTTAGAGGACATGTGATTTTACCTTAGAGAAACTAATTCATACTGGACTTATTTTGTAGATTCAGTCTAAAGTATGATCTGTTTAAATCTGGGGGTCTAAATTCCAACATGAGTAAATTGGATTCATGTGGTAGAACTACCAAATCTGTTTTTGACATTAAATTTTATGTAAAACTGAAGTGCCTGACACCACTGCAGAGTAAAGGAAAGTAATAGAATGGCAGGATAGTCAGGGAGGTGACAGAGGAAGCAAGAAGCTAAAAGTAATGAAATGCTGAGGTGTCTATAAAATGACTTAAGAATGAGACTAGGAAAATCATCATGAAATGAAGTAACTAATAAGCAAGGACAGAAAATGAGAGCAGATATATTCAAATAAAGTCAAAACTGAAGAAGGGGTGGATGTGACAAAAAAAAAATTCTACCTTAATAGAAAAGAAGGCTTCCTTTATTACTCTGGGCCACTTACATTTCTCCTCACCAGCCCAATGGATTTCCACTGATGCTGCACACTTGCTGGTTAATAATGCTATGAATTAACTCCTCATGTATCTTTTGTTTTCAACTTACTAGCTTTTTCAACAAATGTTCCTCTGCTTATTATGTGCCAGATAACTGTGTACTATGTCCTGGGGACCCAGGGGTAAATTAGAAGTAGTCCCAATTAGGGTGAGAATAAAGAAAAGGAACCATTACAGTGACAAGACTGTAATACTATAGAAGCTCATAGAAATTGCACCTAGACCTAAAGAACAAGGTGTCCAAACCTAGTGGTAGAGGGGGATTGGTTTCAGGGTGGGGGAGGCAGACAAACACACCCAGCTTTTTCAAAGGTATAAAATGGGGATGACAATGTCAAGTAAAAGGACCTATAAGTAGTTCAGTATGGCTGAACTATAAATAAGAAACAAAAGGGCAAGAGATGAGGTCCAGGCTGGATCATGAGGGCTCTTGCATACACCAAGATAAAAAGCACAGTACATTGCTTAAAAGCACAAGTTCAAACTTCCTCAGTCATTTATTAGCTATGTAGTGCTAGGCAAGTTACTTAAGAGCAATTTAACTTCTCTAAGCTTCAATTTCTTTATCTGCAAAACAGGGATGATGACATTATCTCCCAGAATTTTGTGAGGATTAAAAAAGATGATGCATGTAAAATGCTTGGCAGAGTTCCTGGCTATTAGTTCAATAAATGTTATCTAGCATCATCATTTTGGCTATGAACATTTATTTTCAGGGTAAGAGGAAGCCCAGAAGGGTTTCAGAAGAAGAATGCATGGCATGACCCGATTGGTAAGCTCCCTGAAGATAGAAACATGTTGCACTTCACTTATATCCTTAATAACATCATGCACACCATGCTGGTTGAATAGTAGGCACTGAATAAAGCACTTGTTGAGCTGAATTAGAGATGTTACACAAGCACAAGGCACAGCTACCCACCATTTTGAGACCAGCATTCTCCAGTAGAGTTAAGGAATGGAGAAGAGGAAATAGGAAGAGATATGAGACATCTCACCCCACCAAACAATTACTAAGAAACTCTATCAGGGCTCTCGTGGACAGGGCTGGCAATACCCTGAAGTTTAACATATGCTCTTTATAATTAATGAGTTCACAATCTGTTTAAAGAGAAAGCAGATGATAACAAAACCAAAAGAAACATGACAAGGTGGTATTCACACTCAAATTCAATCAGTTTCAAAATCACAAAGTTCTGGTTTACCATATCAAAAATATCAACTGAAACTAAAGCCCACACTTACAAACCTGAAGGAGGGAATGTTCTCAAATATTTTGAAAGCAAACATACAAAGATAAGGATTATCCTTACAAACATATAAGGATCATCTTTAAAACATCTAAGAAGAGAAAAATATTAAATTTTTGATATTTGTAATAACATGATTACGTATGTACAAAAAATCAAAGACCTACAGATAAACCATAAAACAAATAAGAAAGTTCAGAACAATGTATGCACATGCACACGAGACCAATAATCCCAAATCATTAATATTCCTATATATTAAAAATTGCCAATTAGAAGGTGCAACAGACAAATGATACCATTTCTAAAAGCAATAAAAAGTTCGGTGGTACCCAGGAATATATCTAACTAAAGATGAGGTAATTGTTCAAAGGGCAAATTTATAAACTAACAGTGAAGACTTGATTAAGTGAACAGCCTTTATATTTATAAATAAGAACACTCTAGAATCTGGAGTCTAGAAAATAAAAATGTCTTTCTCCCCCAACTTAATCTATAAAAGTAAATGAAATTCTAATCCAAATCCCGAGTATTTTTTTCCAGGGGAAACTTAAAAAAACTGATTTAAAAATCTGAATGGAAAGTTAAAGGGACAAGAAGAGGGAAAACAATATTGAAAAATGACAAGGAAGAGTGACTTGCCCCTTCAGAGATCAAGGTGATTGTCATAAGAAAGTTCAGAACCAGATCCCTATCTATTCAGGAACTTGATCTATGATAAAGGTAACAGCACAAAAGCAGGGAAAGGATAGGGTCATAACCACTTATGTTCTACATGGGAAAAAATAAAATTATATCACACACAAAAATAAATTCCAGATTAATTAAAACTCTAAATATGTATTAGAAGAAAATAGGTAAAGATACAGTTAAGGCCTTGAAGTAGAGGGGAGAAATTCTTTAACAAGATCCCCCAAAAGCTTGACACATGAAAACGGAAGGTTCCAACCTACAACAACAGATTTCAAAAACAGAGTTAAACAGACTTGGGAGAAGATACTTGCATCAAATATAAGCAAAAAAAGGTAGTACCTAGAAAATTAAAAATTACTCTTACAAACAAAAGGAAAAGGAAAAACACCCTAGCAGGAATATGGGTAAAAGATACAACCAGGAAATTCACTGAAGAGGAAAAGAAAAATCATGATCAATTAATCTAGTGACTGGTTAAATATACTTAAAACTGTAACCCCACACTCATCAGATTGGCAAAGAGTTAAAGTGAGGAGAAAGTAGTGTAAGGGTGTGAGAAAAAAGAACTCTCAATGCTTCTTATTTGAAGAGCATTGTGGTAGTGACCTAGTTAACATAAAAATGTACACAGATCCTAAAGGAACTCTTACGTATAAAGTAGGAGGTGTGAATGAGGATGTTCGCTGCAGTGCTAGCGGTAAGAGTGAAAATTTCTAACAAAAAAGTTGTTTATCTAGAGGGAATGTCTCTCTGTAGAGAAACGGATTTTTCCAAATGGGGTACATTCCTATAACACAATATTTAATCAAAAATTGTATTACAGTCAACAACATTGTGTTGCAAACTTCAAAGCTGCTAAGAGACTAGTTAATTGTTCTCACCACAAAGAAGACTTAATAATTGTGGGAGGTGGTAGAGGTGTTAGCTACACTATACATACGGAAATGTATAAAGGTGTCAAACCAACACATTGTACAGCTTAAACTTACACAATGTTATATGTCAATTATATGTCAGTAATAATAAAAAAATAACTAAAAAAAATGATAGGACTGAATCTACATGTATTTATATCTCAAGATGCATGCTGAAAAGAGCATATTATAGAAAAATATATACAGTATATGGTATTGTACAATATATATTTATAAACAATCTATATTACTCACCAATCCTTATATATATAATTATTAAAAATGGAGAAATTAGTTGCAGACAGATCAATTTAATCATTAATCATTTTACTACCTTTATTCAAACAAGACTATGCAAATATGATAAAATATTAACACAATGCTAATAACACTGTAAAATATGAATAATTATATGTGATGGGTATACATAGATTCTTAGTCTCTATACTTTTACAGATTTAAAAAAATTCCCCCAAATAAAAATTAAATCTAAAAAACACAGTTTTAATTATTTATAAGTTTTCTTTTGAGAAAGACTGAAATTTATATACATATAAGAACATTAACTCTGACAACACAAAGCTGGATTGTATCTTGATATCAACATTCCTCTGAGCATCTGGACACTTACCTGTGGTTATGAGTACTTAGGTTATGATCTATGATAGTTCTCAGAACTGATTAACTTTTCACCCCCCAGCCTGGAGCTCTGGCACTCACTCTCCTGTTAAAATCCTTTCCTCCCCCCTGGCCCCCATGAGAAAGCAGCACGTAATCCAGTGACAAAAGAGTCTTCTGCCACTTCACTCTCTAGATCAGTGATTATCAACTGGAGCCATATTGCTTTCCCCATCCTTAGGAAATACTGACAAACATTTGATAATGTTTGAACACATTTTTGGTAATCATAACTGCTATGACATTTTGGTTATCATAACTGATATAAAGATGCTACTGGCCTCTAGTGTGTGAAAGCCAAGGATATTGCTAAACATCTTACAATATACAGGATGGCGCTCCACAACAAAGAATTATCTGGCTGACAATGCCAATAGTGTGAAAGGCTGAGGAAGCTTGCTCTAGACCCTAGAAGGTGAATGGATCCCCACTCTTCTCCTCTCAGGTGGGAAGCTGCTCTTTTGATGTGATTAAGGTCCCTTCTCTATCTGGTATTTGTTAGAGTCTCCTTAGCAATAATTCTCTTTTAGCCCATTTAAGGTGATCATATTCCTCATAATATACAAATATTTAATTTCACAATATGCATTCTTTAAAATCCTAATATTATAACAATATATTTATTTGTTCTACTAAGACTGTAATGTTCTAAGACAGCAATTAAAGATGTACAATGGATTTATTTATTCACTTGACAAATTTTTACTGTGTCCTTACTATATATAACCCAAATACTATGCTACAAACCAGGAATAAAATGGTAAGAACAGACAAGTTCCTTACCAAACGGCAGCCTAAGTGTGTAGTGGAGAAGCCAGGGATTTGTGAAATAATCACATGACCTAGTAAAAATCTGAAAATTATGGAGCAGAGCTATAAACATACATGTGAGACAGATGCATGAATGAGGGAGATTTAAAATAATAGTTATGGAAGTAAGAGATGGCTTCTTTTAAGGTGGTAATGTCTAAGCTGGCATCTGGAGAACATACAGGTGTTGACTACAGGAAATCTAGAGGGAGCAAGCTGGATTAAGGGAGCAGCATGTGCAAAGGCCTTGGGGAAGCGATAGAACATGGTGAGTCTAAGGGACTCAAAGAAGATCAGTAAACTTGGGAGTAGAGGAAACAAGGGTTCTAAAGTGTCAATGAAAACGATAAAGAAGCTCTCCCAGATACAGACTAAGAAAAGAGTGTTCCTACCTTGATGCCAGTGTGTCACATGGCGATCCTTTCCTCTTATGTGAGTCTGGGTTAGCAGGGTCGGATGAACTGTCCCCGAGGCCACTCATGTTGAAAAACTTCACACCTAAAAAGGAACGACAACAATAAGAAATCTACCCTGGTGAACTTCCTAACCATAGCGGAGGAGGAAGCTCCCTTATGTTAGAAGATATCTAAACATTGTAGGGGCGCCTGGGTGGCTCAGTTGGTTAAGCGACTGCCTTTGGCTCAGGTCATGATCCTGGAGTCCCGGGATGGAGTCCCACATCGGGCTCCCTGCTCAGCAGGGAGTCTGCTTCTCCCTCTGACCCTCATGATCTCTCTATCTCATTCTCTCTCTCAAATAAATAAATA